AATGAGCGCGATGCTTCGCTGTGCTCGTTGTATTCGAACGCTCATTGGATTACGCTAGCTTTCAAGATATATAAATGTTGCGCACTTAAAAAATTTTAGTTTTTCTTGAGCTGGTACTAGACGTTTCTCGAGAAAAGGAATCATATCTTGGAAGTTCAAAACGAATTACAATAATTAAATGATTACGATTGGATGACTGTTGAAAAGAGTGTATGAAAAAAGAAAATATATATGTAGATTACGTCTTTGGTCCGACGAACTTCCAAGAAGAAAATAATTTATTTTAGCGTATAGCGTTTACATTCATATGTATACTCCATCCGAGAGCTAGCAGTTGTTAAGTACAAAAGTATAATATAAACGTCAAATAGAGACGCGATCATGAATAATTAATGCTGGTATAATCTCGTTTAAGTTTAATTTCCGATATCGCGTACATGCAAGAAAAGAGAGCCTTATCGTCGTTTGTCGTTTATCGTTTATTCACAAATAAGCATGTATAATAATTATCATCAGAATACATTTTTAGTATCTAAGTAGAACTCGGTGAAGTTATATTGTCGTTATATTAATATTTTGATTTTAAGAATTTTGTTACAACTTTAAGTAATATGTATGTACCTTAATTTCTGTATTTGCAAGATAATATTTAAATAATTTTTAATTTATATTATACTTTTCTATCTTTTTCTTTTTCTAAAATTAGAAAGAAAAAGGATCCTTATTTGTAAAGTCTGTAGGAATCGCCAAATCATGGACATATATCTAACTTTCTCTTTCTCTATTTTAAAATTTATTAATTCTATTCTCAGTGAACATAAGTTACATGTAACATACCGGTTAATTGTAATTTCCCACTCAACGATATATCTGTAACGTAACACAAGTGTTATGTTACGGTCATATTGTTGAGTGGGAAATTACAACTAACAGGTACGTTACATGTAACTTTGTGTTCACTGGGTTACGTCGTTGGGCTGCGTTTCGTTATCTCTCTGTTTTGAAATCTCTCTGATATAATCTCTCTAATATCAGAAATCGTATTAGCTGCATTCTATTATTCGCTGCGAGTACTGAAAATCTATAATATACATAACATGAACTATAAGATTTTCAGTATTCGCAGTGAGTGGCTACGTTTACACCGTACTTTTAGTCCGCGACCTACACGATAGGTGTCTTTGTCTAATATACAGGATAAACAAGGACGTCTATTGTATAGGCCGCGGCCTAAATGCACGGTGTAAACGTAGCCAATAAGGGAACGTATTCGTAGTCGTTGTCGATAAATAAATCTAGCATGTGCTTCGCTGGAGGTGTAGTGTGCTCTGTCGGGTGCTCGGAGTACTAGGCGGCATCGGCATCGACAAAAAGGGCGACATCTTCCATTGGTGTCTGCCCGACGGAATTTTTTGACAATCCGTTGCTTTTCGAGATAAATTCCGAAGTAATCTCGGACGCGAGCGTCGCGAGGATCGCGAGCACACCGGCCGCGTGAAATAGATGGCGTATGCGAATACCGCGGCTACAGGAACGGCGGGTGGAACAATTCGCTCCGAGAACTCGGACACTACCGCGTACGAACATGATAGATCAAAACAGGGAGCCGGAGTCGACCACGGGCACCGCTACGGAGCAAGCGGGCGCGCGACGGAAATCAAAGCGTGGAAACACGGGTGGAAAACTCGCGACGCTTCTCCGACGGTGCGAGAGTAATCGGCATCAGGAGTACAAGAGGGAAGACTTGACGAGCGACACTAGGTCGATGGAGCATAGATTCAGAGGCTCGTCGAACAGCAAACTATCGTTCTTTGATTTCGTATGTAATGTCAAGAAACACTTGCTACTGAAGAATCTATGCAAGTCAAAGAAAAAGGTAGGCTTTTTTCCTTCTTTTCTTTTTCTCACTTTTCTTCTTCTTCATCATTCCTTCCTTTACCTGGAGTAAGATTTCTTTACTCTTCTTCTACGATGATTGTGTTTCGCCTAAAATAATTCCTTCTTGTCATTCTTTTTCAGAACAAAGAGATAGAGACATCGATCCCTTGCTCTGGTACAAAGCAGAATGTTATATCTGTCATTAAGTCTTTTAATTCTTGTGAAAAACGAGAATATCATTCAAATGACGAACAGGCCTCATCAGATAGGCTTTTGTATGAAACCAGATTAAGTAACATACTTGAAAATTCCTGCCACATCGAAGAGAATAAAACTAATAGCATGCAATATGATATAACTGGCATAAATCTTCATAAAGTTCCTATAAGACAGCAAAATAAATTGATAAGCAACATTACAACTGTCAGCGAAGCAACAGTGATGCAACCTACCTATTCTGATGCAACAGTGGCAGTTCTTAACGCAATAGCAGATGTTCCTGGCAGTACGAACGAAACGTTAAATAACGAACATAAAGTTAAAGCGAGTCTTGCAAAGGAATTGCTTAATCTAAGCAAACATGGATGGTATTGGGGTCCCATATCGGGAGACGAGGCTGATGCCAAACTCATATCTGAGCCAGATGGTGCATTTCTGGTTCGGGATTCGTCAGATGATAGGTGCATATACATTAGATAATTTGACTTTGCAGAATTTTATATATTTATACGTGCTAAATAAAATTCTATATTATTACCTGTAGGTATGTCCTAACACTCAGCTTTAAATCATCTGGGAAGATGTTGCATGCGCGAATGGAACACAGCGGTGGCCTATTTTCTCTGTGCAATCAAAGTACCGAAAATGAAGGCTTTACTTCAGTAGCTGCTTTAATAAATCACTCCATGAACTTCAGCCAGTCCGCTGTAATTTGTTATTCGAGGCCAAAATATCCAGGTTATCCTTCGTTTCCGGTCAGATTAACGAAACCAGTGAGCAGATTCACGCAAGTAAGGAGTCTGCAATATCTTTGTCGTTTTGTTATTCGCCAATATATTAGATTAGATAATATACACAAGTTGCCTTTGCCAAAAACTATCAAGGGATATATCCAAGAAGCGCATTATTAAAATTTAACAGATAAAGAAATAAAGAATGTTGAGATTAATAATAAAATTATTTTTTATCAAGATATATATTAACAAAATAGTATAGAATAGACTTCTAACAATAAGATGAAATGGCAGCAAAAGTATGTATGTGTGTGCGCGTACGTACGCACGCACACACGCACGCACACGCACACACACACACACACACACACACACACACACACACACACACACACACACACACAAAAGAGAATTTTTTTTTATTTTCAGTATGTCATACTTTGCAAAAATATTTTCAGAAATATTTTTCTCAAATCATTATCTAATATCAAAAATGTAAAGCAAATAAAAATTATAAATTATTTCAAAAATTAATATTAATGTTGTTTTTTATAAGTATTACACATTATTTTTATTAAATTAAAAGAGAATTTCATATTTATTATAAATTACATAATTCTAGGAGAAATTTGCAATAAAATTTCTATACGTTAATTATTGTGTGTAGATGAAGAATTTAACTTTTTCTACTATATTATGGTAGCAAAATGTAAAAGAGTAACAAGATATTTATATAGCTGATTCCAGACGATTATATGATTACTTAATTATGATAATATGCAGGGTAAACGAATAATTGTTTTTAATCTATTGTTAAAAGAATGTTGATATAGCTTTATGTAATCAACAATTTATATCTTTATATTTTGCATGGAGATAATATAGATTTACTATCTATTTTATTGTACAGATTTTGTTAAAATATATTACTGTGTAAAATAAATTAGCTATATTTGCTACTAGTTCCTTTCTTAATAATAATTTTTAATACAAAATTAAATGGTATGTTTAATAGTATTATTTACTGTACTCGTAAATTAAATAAATTTCTCTCGTAAGACCCTGTGCATAATGGAGGAAATATTAGCAACAGGAATAAATAATAGGGGAGAGTGGTCTAAATCGGACCTATTTGCAGTTTCTGCTCTCTATAAGGCGTAAATAAAGTCCGATCGTAAAATCGAAGCTATCGTTGGAAAGATCATTTAATTCCCTTCATTTTTGCTTCAGATTATTTTAACGTATCTCTCACCTGTGTTAAACTATAATGGAAAATGTAAAAACGCTCTTTCCAGTCCAATTTGGAACCATCGGTTATTTTTATGGATTTTTAGATAAAATTTTAAAATATTTTAATGTATTTCTCTTAGTATGGAGTAAGAACGAGCAATTTGATAGTCAAAGATAAAAATGTTTTCGGAAAAAGAAAATACTGACTGTTTATATTATTAGAATTGAAATCAATAAAACTCAACTAATCTGAGTCTGATGACTCATGATATTTTACTGATTTAATTGCTTGGAGCAGATCTGGTCAGCCAATCACCAGTACTACAATCAGGCCTATAAGTTATTCACTGAACTGTCCGATTTGGACACGGGTCCTTTTGAACTTTGGAACAAATTTTACAATAAACCGCAAAAGTGATCACGAAATGCTTGATATTTTTGAATTCTACTCTTTAATTATCTTAAATCAATTACTTTTCAAATTTTTAACATCTTTTAAATAATGATTTACAAGGATTTTCTTTTTTAAAAAAATTTTCACACGATGACTGAAAATACATATTTGCCTCTATTTTATGAATGTTATGACAGAGAACTGTCAAACTGCTATCGCATGTTCGGTGTCTTATAAGGACTTTACATTATAAATAGTACGCAAATCTGCTTAACCGTATTCATTTAAATTAAAAAGGTCCTATTTGGAACACGGTCCGATTTAAACCAGTCTCCCCTAAATATTACAGAAATAAAAAAAAATACGAATAGACACACAATGGATACAAATAAGATATACAACATATCATATGTCATATCTTATATGTATCCATTGTACGTTACATTTAATCTCTCTATTTAATATCCAACATTTATTCTTATTTCTAATAGTTCTCCTATTGTGCGAAGGGTTTCATTTTTTAAAAAATGTTTAATTATATTTATTTGAAAACATTTACAGAATATCTCTCTTTTCTTAAAATCTTCTCTCATTAATTTATTCCTTGTTTTACTAACGCAATCCGAGTATATTGCGGGCCTAGAACAAAAATATAATTATATGTACAATCTCTCAAAAATGGCTCATAATTTTAATTATAATCAACCAGAATTAATCTACCGTTATAAAAACAGTAGAAGCTGTTTCTGTAACACGGTTTAAAGCTTCATCTGGCTTAATCGAGCTGGAAAGCATTATCTGTACTTGTAAAATATCCTTTAATCGTCTCTCTAGGAACAACCATGTTTCTTTGTGGTCTTCACTTTTATCTTGCAACATGTACAATTCAGTAGCTTTATAAATAGTCGCTAGTATCAGTCTCCTGGCATACCAATTAATCTAATCAAAGTAATGTATTCTATTTAAACAGCATATCCAAACAATATCTTATACTAACAGATAAATATTAGTGATATAACTTACATCAACCGATCTATCGCCGGCATAGTAGCAGATATCATCGACTAAGGTTAATAAATTTGCTAAAGCAGTTGGTACGTTCGGTGGAAGGGACATAATAGCCACTGCTTGTGGCCAGGTTTTTTTGTAAGGGATCACCATTCTCAACCGAGTTTCTACAGCGTCATAAACTTGCTGTTCTGGTGTCTTCTGCAAACTTGAGGAATCTGCTTTAGTAGCTAATGCTTCTTTTTCTAGGATTTCATTTAATTCCCGGTTACACATAGAGTAAAAATACTCCACTAAAGCCGCACTACCTTTTGGAAACAATCCATGTATCACGCCCGGATATCCAACTGATTCTGCACCTTTAGCATCATACTCGATTACATCATTTTATTTTATTTGTACGTAAATATAACGCAATATTTTGGCAAATTAAAAGAAAAATTAATTATAAGATAGAATAGAATATAAAAAATGATTAAAATTACCAGCACTAATAGCCTGTTTGCTCCATCCCATGTCAGGAACAAATTTTAAAGAAGCGCCAAGTATTTTTAACTTAATATTTTTTTCATATTCCTCATCATTCTCCTCATGAGTAAATTGTTGTGGTTCTGCTTTTCTATTGTCATTTTCAAACTGATCGGCCAGCAAAGCCCTAGAAGTCCATAAACATCTAAAACCTAATAAAATCAATATCTACTTTTAAAATTATCTAATAATAATAATAAGATACGTATTAAATATGTTATATAAGACATAAGAATTGTAAGTATAAATATTAGTATAAATTAATTCAATTTTAGTTTAATTTTTATCACAAATATGATATTAATACAATACACACTCAACTTAAAAAATTTTTTATTACATTTAAACAATTACAATTTTACGATCTTAAACAATTACAATTTTATGATAGTATGACATTTTCATGGTTGATTTTATTTCTATTCAGGTAGTACATTCATCAGATTTTTTCACAAATTTTTCATTCATATCTATACATTCATTAACTCGTATAAGAATGCTTTCCATTACATCCAAACCATTTATCACTTGATAGCAGACAGAAATCTTTTCGTGGAGCGGCATAACTGGTAATTGTTCACCACCAATAGTCAATGTAACTTCCATATGAGCCTTCATTAACTTGCTATAATCTTGATCTTTAGCTAAATCCTTTTTCTGTTGCTCCAAATCTTTTTTCTTCACTCTCCAATGTGCTCTGCATAAGTCTATACCTTCTCTTAATGGATTCAGATAATTAGTTTTCAGCATATCTGTCATATTCCAAATACCTGTTTCATTGTTCTTATCTCTGATAAACAAAAATCTCAGCAAGTTCAGCGCAGTAATGATTTCGTCTGATATTTCTACCACATCAGACGAACTTCCATGAGGTAGATTGCAAATTTTTTTCAATAACAATTCCATATTTTTTCCGAGAAATTGAGGATTTCGTGGAATTGAATCGAGACATTCAATGATAGAAGATTTAAATATGCCAGTGATAAAGCTTAACAGGCCAGAATGTTCGACAATCTCATATAAATACAAGATAATAGTATATCTAGCTTCCGTACTAAATATCTCGATATAATCTTGAAAAACGCGTATTGCCTTCTTCCGTTGCTCATCACTATTAGAATAAATCATCACTTTAATGATTGGTTGAAACAATTCTGTATATATTTCCAGGCTCAACACCTCAGAATCTAAGGAGCGAAGTGAAATACGTTTTATAACATTTTCCATGAAAATCAATCCAGTAGAGATTGAATAATCTTCACTAAGCAGTATTTTGAAAAAGTATGCACATGTTTCAAGGATATAATAAAAATTATATACTTGTGGTACATTTATCCAATAATTTTCTTGGGTAATTACGTAAAAATAAAAATTAGCATAAGCCATATTAGATATGTTTTGACTCCAATCTAAAATTGTAGAACAAAAAGAAGATTCAATCTTTGTTTTTAGGCATTTATGTAGCGTTTTAACAAGAGTAGATTCTCTTTGACGTTTGCTAACAGTATCTAAAAAATATAATATATCTCCGGTGAGGTAAAGTGCTTGTGTTATTATGTTATCCGTGATTTCTTTATATGTTATTTCTTCACTCATGTATTTGTTCAAACAGCAAAAAGGTTTTCCACACAGAAAAATAAAAAAACTCAAGAGACGATTTCCAAGAAGAGATCCTTTCTCCTGCTTAGAATTGATATCTATCGCCTCATGCACCAATGGTTCCAGAAATACTATGATTGCCTTATATGTATTTACAATTCTGTCACTAGCTGCTTCTGGATCATCGACTTCATCTGGCAGTGGTAGATCCTCAAGGTACATCTTGATCGCATCAAAGTACCAATCGATGGTTTTACTCTTGTTCCGTACCAGCATCAAACAGGTCTGTATTGCACCCAAGATGGTACAAAAATTCACATGGTCACTCGCCTGCTTTAAGTATCTTGGGAACTCTATTATGGCTATTGTGGGCTCACAATTCTCAGTTAAAAACGTCAATACATTTGAACAGCAATCAAACATCGCTTTATGATGTTGTAACACAGGGTTCGTGAGATTCGGAACGATGGCAGACATGATGCCGCATAAGCTATTTTCAGTCGTCAAGTGATCTTCTTTCAAAAGCTGTATAACTTCTGCAGTTTTGCACTTGTCCAAAAGGTTGGTAACTCGGCTGATAAATACTTCTGTCATCTTGGTAAAGCTGCCGAAGGCGAAAACACATAAAAATATTACATGCAGATAATATTATTCTTTAAAAAAAGTATTTCTATTACCTTCTATATGTATATGTGTTTGCCTTCTTGGGTCGATCTCAAGTAATTCCTCCTTTATTGTTCGTCACTTGTTTGCAAGATTTTTCATCAAAGAAATATGCAGACACATATATTCTTTATTTTCGCCCTTGAGAAGAAAACATCAAGCACGAGTCTCTTTCGAAAACGCGTCTTTAAGCGAGGTTACGTCTTCGCGCAAGAACGTAGGTTAGGTTACACGAAATGTCACGCACCCTCCTACTCTCAACACGAAAAGGCACGGAATTGCACAGAATGGAATCTAACGATAATCAGATTCGATCGAGAGCGAGCAGTTGAAAAGACAGCGAAAAGTCACAAAGACAAAAAAAAATTCCTAGAAAAAAGGTTTCGTAGGTAGGAATGAAAGGTAAGACAAAACAGAACAAAGGGTGGGACGGAAGTTAGCATCGCTAACAATTCGCTTACCGGTCGCTGCAAATTTGCTCTGTGCCAAGCGGAACGAATTAAACATCGCCATGTCACCGAATATCCTTTCAAACTCTTATCGCTAAGAAAATTCCGACAAACCATGCATGTTCTTGAGATGCGATTAGAATTTCGCGAGAGAGACTGTTTCTAGTTTCTACATCTGACGGTTGCGCCGCGGCGTTTCTCAGACCTGACGAGTCAAGGATAGATTATATATTCGAAAGCACATTTTTCGAAGCAATCTGAAAATGATAATGCGGATTTCCACTTTGTGCTGAATTGACGATAATATCGATATTGATAAAAATCAGGTTAACAAGATAAGCCTAACCTGACTCGCATATTAAAGCTCGAGAGAGAGGCATGGCAATGCATGGAGATCACGTGGGATTCAGCCAATCAGAGAAAAGAAACTTCGCTTTTTTTTGTTCCAATTGAAGCAAATGTTGATTGGCTACGTTTGATTGCGGTTTACCGTCGAGACCAATAAACACACACCCCCCCCACGTCGATCACGTCGAAGCCGTCTGCTGAGTTTTGTTGAGTTTTTGTATCCTCGTGAATGATGTCTCTCTTTTAACCTGAAATGCGCTCTGCGCAATTTTAGTTTTGTGATCGAAGAGCACTTGATTAAAGTTGTCGCATTTGATTAAATCAAACGAGAAGATTTCACCGCAGGAATTTGGTTTCTTTGGAAATGGGCGATTCGGATGAAGAGAATTACGTGACATTCGGCGTTCCTCTTGACCCTTTGGACGAAGGTATACAAACGGAATAAATTACAGTGCTTAAGAATATATATTGTATCATAAATATCCTTTTTATTGCGTTATATCAAAAAGTTTTGATCTCACAGAGAACATCCCGCGAAAGAAGCCCATTACGGTCGAGGATCAATATGCATATGACGCCCAAGGTAGACGTAGGTTTCACGGAGCCTTTACAGGCGGTTTCTCAGCAGGATACTTCAACACCGTCGGCACTCGCGATGGCTGGAGACCACAGCAATTCAAGTCTTCCAGAAGCAGCAAAGCAGACAACGTTGTTCAGCGACCAGAAGACTTTATGGATGAAGAGGACACGAGTCTCTTCGGGATAGCTCCTAAAGGTATTCGAGCCACCAGCGATTATGCTGATCATGGACAGAAAGGAAAAAAGAGGGAGAGGATGTGCCAGGAAGGACCTATTCCTGGTACTCCTATCTTAAAGGAGCTTCTAAGACCTGTCAAGTTAGTATTTGCAAAAATTAATAATGCCATTTAATTTCTGTTAGTTTTAAATTGAAATTATTAACGGTATGTTTTTGTTTGAGAAAAAATAGAGTAGTGCATTAATTATTTACTTTAATTTATGTTGTGTTTGATTTGTATTCCATTTAGATTTAAAGTTATATTAATTTCTGATCATTTTAATTGCTCACAATTACAGAGAAACAGTGGGTATCGTCCTGCTCAAGAAAATGGGCTGGAAACCTGGTCAAGGTGTAGGTTCCAGGCTAACGAAGAAAGAAAAGCAGAAGATAAAGCTACGTAATGAAAAATTAAAACTAGCACAGAACAATCCCGAAATGACTGGAAGCAATTCCGAGGATTCGGATGATGACTCTACTAATATTACTTTTGCACCTGACGATTACGAGCCATTCCGGTGTAAACCGAAAGATAATTATTTTGGCATTGGTTACTCGGGTTTAGATAGGCGGAAAGTCCTTTCCAGTCATATCAATCTATTTGACAGTCCAGCTTTTTGCGTCCAAGATAAAAACAAGAAATTGTCGATTCATGGCCAGGCGTTTGGAGTTGGTGCCTTCGAAGCTGACGACGAGGATATATATGAGAAAGAAGACATGTCGCGTTACGATTTTGCTTTGGGTCCCGAGCATAAGGCAAAGACAAGATGGTCTCAGGATGGACCGAGTAGTTCGCAAACTGATTGTTTGGACAATTTTACTCATGCGAAAGAAAGACTAGAGAGCAAGAAAGTCTTCAAACCTCCAGAATTGCCGAAGAATTTTGCACCAGTACACACTATTAGGAAAAGTAGGTTTTATCCGCCGATTACAACTTCAGTAGAAAGTAAACGCAGGGAACCATTGAACGCCACAGACAGAGCGCGAATCTTGGAAGACCCTGATGAATGTTTGAAAAAGTCACAGGCATCATCGAGCACATCCGTTGCCTCTAATATTATTTTAAAAACCTTGAATTTGCATGGTAAACAACAAACAGAAGAGAGAAGAAAATTAGAGACGCAGCAGAAGACGACGACCAACTCTTGGCTAGACAAATTAAACGAACAAAATTTTGTCAAAGGTGGTATTGTCGGTTCCAGCAAAGACGATATGAGTAACTTAAAGAAATTGGAAGATTTTAAAGAATCTTTATCTGCACAATCAAGCACGGGTAAATCACTGGAGAATGATTTCTCGGATAAGAGTGAAACGAGAAAATTGTTCCTATCTGATCCGGATAAACAGAGACGATTCGAGCAGTATCTTATCTTCTCGAAGAATAGCGAGAAGGATAAGTTCGAAAGTATTCAACCACTTTCTATGACTAATTGGGAGAGAGAGCAAGAACGCGAAGAATTCGAGCAAGCAACAAAACTGGAGCAATCGAATAATTATATGGCAGATAAGTTTGTACACAGTGCTAATGAGACGACAGACAGAATAGATCCGGAAAAGGACGTAAAGGAAGCAGTAAGATTGAAAATGTTTGGCAAACTGACGCGACAACGAAGCGAATGGAAGCCGACGAGTATCGTTTGTAAAAGATTTAATATTCCCGAACCGAAAGTCGGGTGTGCACCGATCGCAACAGATAGGAAATCAGCCAAATTCTCAGTCTTTGATTCCTTGGACTGGTGTAGCTCATCAAAATTTACGAAAGCTGTGGATACAGTTGAGACACAAGTGGAAGACATTCCCCTGCCGTCAAGTAAAACAGAAGAAAATTTAAACGAACCGATTCCCATTGACTCCAATAATATTCCGTCTAACATTTACCAACCTTTAGAACCTATTTCTGAAAAATTTAGAATTTTCGAAGCTTCCTATGAAAAAGTTTTTGGCAAGGGTATTCACAATATTTCTTCCGCAACATCAAAAGATGTCGAACAAAATACAGGAAATAATTTAAAAGATGAAACAATTCAAGAAATAAAAGAGAAGGAAAAAACACCTGAGCCGGTGTCTGCGCTTAAAGATCAGTCGGAAGAAAAGAAGGATCTGTTCAAGGCAATCTTTCTCAGCAGCAGCGAGGAATCCGACAGCGAGACGGAAGATAATGTTGACAACGAGGCTGTCAAATCGATTTTGATTGGAAAAGATCCGAAGGAGATAAATGTGCAACGCAATACATCGCCGCCGCGAGGAATCTTTGCGAAACTAGATCTCGACAGCTTGGTGACACAACCGAAACACGTTAATGACGAAAGTAAGACGTCTAACATTTCAGAAACTAGTCCGCCGATTACTGGTGAATCGCAGAACGATCTTATGGATCGTAACGATGTAACTAATGATAAAGAGACTGCGATACTGCCAGATATGTATGGTCCGGTCCTGCCACAAAGATTATTGAAACAAGACAGTACTACAACGACAGAAGCTGATAATACTGATCAATTGTCAAAACCAGTATTTCGAAGTGTCGTGGTATCGAAAACTATGGAGGATTCGAAACTCGGTGGAAAATGGGTGGAACGAGACAAGATGAAAAAATCGAAGAAGAAGCATAAACATAAGGAGAAAGATAAATATAAGAGCTCCAAGCATAAGAAAAAATCTAAGAAAGAGAAACGTTCGAAACATTGATTTCTGTTTATTTTATCTTTTGATGATTCGAGTAACAGATAAATCGATTTATCAAGTAATGAAAATACCTTTTAAGTACTCATCATAATAATTATATAAGACATTCGAGATGCTTTATGCCCAATTAAAACTGTTTCATATATTATTTAATTAAATCGTATAATATTTATGCACTTATATATATATATATATTTCGCGATGCATATATGTACAGCTGTAATATAAACTGAAAATACATATTTAAACTGCAATTCTGATCATGTCAACAAATCTAACACGATTTGTAATTTGTTAGGTCCAATAGAATTTTAATTTGATATAAGGTACTTAAAATAACTCTTGGATACAGTCAGTAATACTTTATACATTATATTTTCCAATGATTGTACATTGTACAAAGGATATGTATATTTTACACACACTCATATTCACGAGCCATTTTTTATCTGTGAAAAATTTTCATAAGATAGATATATATATTAAATGGCGACTACTTGTTTTGAATATTAAACCATTGTAGATATCGTGGTTTAAAGATTTAAGACGCTATGGATATACGAGAATACACATGTACGTGCATTTTTCTATTAAAATCATCCCGATATATCTAAATACGAGTTTTGAGCAGTCCACCTTTTTATTACAGTATCATCGAATGTAATGTTTCTCTCTTTCTCTCTCTGGGGAAGTAATCGTGACGTCTAGTCAAAATATCAAGTTTCTTAACAAGATCACACATGTGGGATTATTAATCCGATGTCATGGAGTTCCTTGAAGCAGGTCTGCTGGAATTGCCGGTTCCAGTCTTTTTCTCTGCGCTGAAAAGGTATCATAACTTTTATTAAACATTGTTATATTTGAATTTTTTAATAATAAATTCTTTTGTCTATTTTTATGTATATTAGATAATTTACACAATTTTTTGGCGTACCTGCTGCTTCTTGAACCTCTTTTGAACATGGCTGTTAATTTCTTCTTTAGGTTCTTCTTTTCCAACTTAAGGGTTTCATTGATGCTGGTTTCAGAACCAGATGTCTGTCAAGTATTCGATCATTTTAATAAATAATGTTCTACTTGCATAAAAATAATTTCGAATATTTAAATATCTTCTTGCCTGAAGCGAGTAGTCGGTCATATTCGGGTCATCGACGCTAGATGATTTAGTTAACTTATGTGTTAATTTTCGTATTATGCCCTTGCGATATTTCTTGTCCCGATCTAACATTTCGCTCTTTGTCGATCCTCCGGAAAGGCGACTAAATATAATAATTATCAAATATATATTCATTACCGGTATTATGCGTATACTTCAAAAGATCATTGTAATGTTACGAATATTATTTCGATACCTATCTACACTGGAATCTCTCTGTCGACTAGTTCCGCGAGATTCCACTTCTGATCCTTCCAATGATTGCATGCTCGACAAATTGCTGTCCATGCCCCAAATACCTGCAGACTATATTTTATGCAAAAGTTAGCAGTAATCAAAAGAAGAAAGATTACAATTCCAGAATTGTATGAATATTTTCAGATTGTAAAAATTGGTATCTTTTTGAGATCGAATTTCGTACAGAGAACTAGAGATGTAAACAGCATATTTGGCATAAGATCTCTTATCTCAGAAAACTATTTCTTATACTTCACAAAAAGATTGTCTGTATAATAAGCATCCTGTTTACCTCCTGATGCCCAGACGTTTGTTCCAAAGAGAGACTCTTTCTTTTCAAACGTGGTTTACCGCGATTTAACACCACTCCTTTTCCTGGATCACTTTCTACTGACGTCGCTCTAAAACAACATAATATTTTTCATGCTCTGAATAGTTTGGCAAGAAATTAGACGAATTATAAATCGCGAAAGCTCACCTCTTCCCCAATTTCTTCAACCGCATTGCATTCGTTTCATCTGCCGTCTTCTTTGATTCCTTAAGTTCTTTCGCCACGTCCATTAATTTTTTAATAGTATATTCTAATTTTTCTGTTCTTTCGCCAAGTATTGGAGTTACAGCTGCATACAGTTTACAACGACATTAACAGTAAATTATTTATACAAAAATTAATTAAGTCTTTATTTCAAAGTACCTTTGACGTCACTTTTTGTTTCTAACATTGGCGACGACTCCCTGGATTTTGGTCCCTGCGAATAATTATATATTTTTAAAAAGTTTTTAACGCGTTTGTAATTTTGGATTATACGATAATAATTGACGTAATGTTTCGTTCCCTACTAATATTATATACGAATACTCATTTTTTTATACCTTCAATCGTCTCGGTGGTGTTGGCGTGTATACATCAGGTTTTCCGTTCTCCGTTACAGTATTTAATTCAGGAAATAGCTGTAACAAATCTTGTACTTGTTGCATAAGAATATTAATGTTTCGCAATTCAGTTTGCTCCAATTTGCATTTATTTAATATAACTTCTTTGAGTTCTTGTCTCTCCTTCTCGTGTCGCTCTTTTTCACGTCTCATTTTCTCATTGCTCGTTCTTAACTTCGCATGCGCGTCCCGCAGCTCAAGTAGGTCGCATTGCAACTAAAATTAATTAATACGATTTACGAACCGAAAATTATCAATCTTTCAACGACTATATTTTCAAAACACACTTATACAAATATTTAAATACCTCCGATAATTTTTTCTTATTTTCATCTTTCTCTTCATCAAACACTTTCTTTAACTGATCTTGTCTCCTTTTGTTTTCAAGCCGCTCTTTGCTACGTTCTCTTTCTATCTGCATAAATAACACTCGTAAAGTTGTAAAAAGTCTGAATTAACTATGTCATCTTGTTTTTATTCTAAACTACTAATCAATACCTCGAATAGTGTTTGTCGTAGATCTCGCGCTAATGTTGCCGTTTCTTGCAGTAACCTTTGATGTTCTTCTCTCTCTTTCTGCCAAGCCAACTCCATACGCACTTTCAATCCTGGAATCTTCGAGCGTCCGCTGGTGAGCAATCGCTCCTCTTCCAACTGCAATCACAACGAATCAGTAATGATATATTTGGAAATGTATTATTTGCATCCAATAAATCTAATTTATAATTACCTCGTTAATTCGGGATTGCAATTCAGAGACTTTAACGTGACTAGCTGATTTTTCTGAAACTAATTCAGCCTTTAGCCTGGAGGCTTCTAATTTTGTCTCAGAAAGTTCGTCTTCCATACAACTGATTTGTTTTTCTAGTACTAAGATGTTAGCTTTCGATGATTCTTCATCCTAGAATAACAGGAAAATATATTTTTCCTAATAGAAGATAATTAATAGTTAAAAAAGGATAGAACACAGTTTGAAGATGTTCTCAAAGAATCATCTTTAGGAATATCTTCAAAATTTTTTAAATAAATTTAAATATTGATGTAATGGTATTGACAAAAGCATATTGATTTGAAAATATATTGTTAATTATTTACCTCGTCGGATTTCCCCGAAGATGCATTAGAGAGTCTACCTTGTCTCGTAGATTTTAGCTCGCCTATAGTTTTTTGCGCGCCTTCCAACATATGTTTGTAAGTATCACGTTCGCGTTTGTATCGTGATAATTGATTCTGGATTGCTTGTATTTCATCGTTGATCGCCGTAATTCTATGCTCGTAGCGCATTTTACACTGCGCCAGATCTGCCTTTTTAGCCTTTTCTGTGTTTGTCAAGGCATTCTTTAATTTCCGAATTTCTGACTCCAGTGCTGTGGTGTCTGGTGTCAATGCTTGATGAATCTTGGAAACTGCCTGATAATCTTTCAGTTTTGTAGACAAGTCGTCATTCTGTAAATTAAAATAATTAAACAATAATAAGATTGAAAGACCGCTAATGTTAATAATTAAAATTATATTTTTTACATATATGTATATGAGAATAATTAAAAATTTAAATAAATTTGGAAATTAGCCAAAATAATGTAAAAACAAAAAAGTGGATAACAATACATTGATGTTTTGTATATATTCACGAAACAGCAAAATTAAACATAAATAATAGATATTATGTACTTACTATTTTTCTTACATCCTCCAATCGTTCCAATAAAGTGGCATTCTCTTTCTTCAATGTATTAATTTCGTCATTTAATTCTTCTACAATAACTTTGTTCGGCAATTGATTGTCACGAATTTGGCCCTGAAAGTATAACTCAACGATAATGGGATTTTTCAAGCTAAAATTTCTAATAATAATTGTATGATGAAATCTCTATACCTCAAGAGCAGATTTCTCTAATCGCCACTCACTCTCTTTCGTTCTCATCGAATTACGCAACTTTTCAAGTTCGGTTTGTATATTTTTTAAATCTCTCTTATGTTCCAAGCATTTGCTATAATAAAACGTAAGATTAAATGAAGAAAGTTATATGAGGCATTTAATATTGTTGGCAATGAATTCTTACTCCTCACACCGTTAGTGTCGAATTGCTGTTTACCTATTCAGAGATTCATTTTCCCTTTCAACCTGCAGCTTTGAATTCGTAAGCTCTTGATATTGTTTGGTAAGAGTTTCTTGCTCGTGTTGATGTTTCTTAATCTCATTCTCGAGATCTGAAAATTTCGTCACGTTAAGTCCATAATACATTTGAGAAATAAATTGTATCTTGCGATACTGTACTTAATATTTTTTCATCGTAAGTTTCTTTCATCTCATTCATGCGTTTTGTATTTTGTCCAGCCTTTTCTAAGGAAGTTATTTTTTTCTTAAGTGCTGCTATTTCAGTTTCCTTCGCTTCTTTCTCGCTATTAAGTTGCGATGTTAATTTCTCTCTCTCCTGCTTAACTTCCGTAAGCTCTGCAGTTAGATCCGCGATCTTCGTTAATGTCGTAGACTTTGTACTTTCTAATTCCCTTTTCAAACGTTTTACCTCAAAATCAAGCTTGGCTTTCGTCTGTTCAACCTATTTTAATCGAAAAAAATAATATGAGTATCGCAAGATAGATTTATTAATTTAGTCAGCTGTAAATAACGTTTCTTGCTAGAATAAAAATAATATTTACAGATGTTATCGATTGCGACATTTTTAATTCCCTTTCGGTGTACGATGACAAATCATCCTGTAACCTTTTACACTTTTCTTGTTCTTGCGAAAGTTTTTCTGTTATTTCATTTATTGTTGTTTCCATCGTTGCTGTATCTTTTTCTGACGTTTTAGCTGTTTCTGTAATATAATGAAAGTCATATATACCATTATCAGTAGTTTTCTAATAATATTTGGATATATTAAAAATATGCAAGACTAGTTAAAAAACTGTGATTTTATAATTATATTAAAAATAAAGCACAAATTTTACCGAGATCTTTCTTTAGTTGTACAACCTCGTTATAAATTTTTAATTTTTCGGACGATAGCAATAATAGTTTAGATTTCAATTTCTCCTTTTCTTCTGAAAGCGCCAATTTCTCTTTATCCCAGGCTTTTCTTTCAGCTTCTCGTAAAGTAACTACTTCGTCCAACTTTCTCTTCACTGTAATAAAATTTACAATTTAAGTATGTCTAATCTTACTGTTGTTAATGCAAGATTCATGTCTTTTCTACCATTTTGTAAATCCACATTTTTGGTATCTTCTACTTTTATACTCGTCTGAATTTTTTTCTTCTCTTTTTCGCTAGCCAGTTCTTTCACAGCAGATTCGAATTTCTCTTTAAGCAATTCATGTTCTTTCAGAAGTTTATCATACTTTAAAGTATTATTATCTTTCGATTTTACATCCGGTATGTCGACATTATGTCCATTTTTAATATTGGTAAAAATATTTAGCATGTCCTCTAAAACATTAACAGTTTAAATGAGGTATTTGATTTGTACGAAATTTATAAAAATACAATGATCATTAAACCTATTTCCTTCTCCATTTCGTCAACCATCTTTTTAAGTTGCAATTTTGTTGTGGATTCTGTCGGTTTCTTTTGCGTTCTGTTCTGGAATGCACTGCTTACTTTCTGCAAAATCTCTTCTGTTTTCTTTACCTAATAAATTATAGGTAAATAGGGAGATTTAATATGTAATATAATCTTATACTTAATGAATATGAATTACAGAACGGCAATTATTTGACTACATTATGTGTTATTAAAATTTAATAAGAAAGAAATTTTTTATTTGTTGTTATATATTTACCTCTTCATATTTCTTCTCTAAAGCTGACCGATCATTTTCTGATTCTTCGGCTTTGCGTTCTACTTTTCGCAATTTGAATGACAATATTCGGCAATTTTTGTTCGATTGCTCCAAACTTTTTCGTAAACGAGTATACTCGTCTGCTTGTTCGTCCCTTATATGCGAAAATTATATTCGTATAAAGAACACATATTGCAGCGCGACACAGTGTAACCATTCACAGATTTGTCGCAGATTTTGTCACGTTTGAGTATCTCTGTTCCTCATAAAGATGCGAAAGAAATTCTACACAAAATTTGCGAGAGAAGAACGGTATGATATTCCATATATTGCTCTCTTTCAAAAAATTTTCAAACCTTATAAAATTTTAATGTGAAATATCTCATAGTCTCTCCGCTAGACTTCTCTTCCGAAAAAAAAGTTCATGGATTTTATTTTATAGGTATGATCACGGTTGTCAAATAAAGAATCAACAAGTGCCAGTCGTATTAAGGATTACATACATCTCAAATTTGTCCAAATCATTGTCCTGCAACAATCCACATATAGTTCATTTTGCAAAAGATTGTGATCTCTTTTGAAACTTATGATTTCCTACGTACAATTTTCAGGTTTTTTTTTTATAAAACGGTTTGACTTCGCATACGTGTTGCATTGCCATATGCGTAAAGATCCTGAATAAATCTTTTGGACATAAAAAGGTTTTTTCGCAAAAATTGAAATGCGATAATAATTTATTGAAAGGAACAGAGATACCGATTTTGATAGATATGTAATATTAAAATCACTCATTTTATATAAATAATGGCGAGTCGTACTTCGCAATTTTTTAATAATGATATAAATCTATTAGTATATTTAATTAGAATTTTTCTTTATAATATTAATAAATACATATACCAAAAATTGCCATTGTTATCAATTTTAAAACAAAACTAAAGCCATTTGAAATAAATAATGTATGAGACATGTTATTATATATAATTTTATTAAGCATAAAATTATATAAAGTTATATCTTTGAAAAACTACAATAAGTAAGTAGCATGCATAACATTATTGCGGGATCTCAATAGGATATTTCATAATATCCTTTATGCAAGAAAATATAGTACCTAAAATTATCTTGCAACTCATAGATTTCTTCTTCTAACTGTCTGATTTCCTTTTTCATATCTTCATTTTCATCCATTAAACTTTCGCAAAGATTTTCTGCGGCTTTCAGTTTCGAACGTAATTCGTCGTGCGTTTTGTCCTTTTCACCTCTGTACGGTTTACTAATCGTTTCTTTTTCCAAACTTTTTATCTTTGCCAGCAATACATTTTTTTCTTGCACAAGTGCTAAAACACGCATGTGACACTACGTATTATATAGGAGTTTAGAAGAAATTTTTTAAGTGATGATAATGCGATGAAAGAGCATAATATATTACAGAGAATTTTTCTATAAAAATTTTCTATTGCATTTTCTATAAACTTAAAAAAATTAATACCTTCATTTTTCTTCTGTAGCTTTGTCACTTCGCTTGTCGATGTTTTGTTCGACATTGTCTCCATGGTCGTCAATCGACGCAGTAATATCTCGCTTTTTTCTTTCTCTGCCTTCTCACATCTTGCTCTCATGTCATTTAACAGAGACCTCAATTTTTCAATTTCATTCTGTGAGGAGTAAATATCTGTTAATTGGCACTTATCATCAAGATTATGCTGTTCATATATTCAATCTTCGCTTAATCCTCTCAATTCTGACACTCGTAAATAACATAAAAATTGCAAGACTATAAAAATAATGTTGCGCTTGAATAATTTAATGCATTTTTAAATCCATTGCTGCATGTATGCAACATTTTTTCTAAAAGTCAGATCTGAGAGGTTCACATACACATATCTTATGATATATAGATAGATGCATTATCATATATACTTATAATACAAACATCAAAATCATCTTTTTGATAGAAACTTTTCTTTAAATTATACATATACAGGCGTAACATCGATCTACATACAGTTAATATCTGAACAAGTTAATTAACATTTAAACAAAATACATTTAATGATAGTTTTGAAGTACAGTATCGCGAAAATGCTTCATAATTCACGATATACGACATTATGAATCTGGGTGTATATCAAGTACGTAAACAACGGCATCACACAACGATATGATGGGCGATATACACATATGATAGTTATTAATCGCAAGATTTCCGTGCTATATCGAAAGCGGCGATCGGCTCACCTCCTTGGTGTCTTCTCTCTTTACCATAATATTATCCGGCCCGTCCTGGACCACCTGTTTGGACGGTGCTGATCGTGATTTCCTTACCTAAAGTAGTGTGACAAATGAGAGTGCAAAAGAGAATTTCACATTTGTTTTCACATCTCTTTTATCATTGAATGTTGCTACGCTACCGTCTGCTGTACATGTAACTACAAGGCGCCTTTGTATAAAGAAGACGTTTATAAGCGTTTATGTGCGTGTTTGTATGCAGATGTGTATGTTTTATTTGACATAAAGCATTCCATGCCACTAGTGAGTTAGTTAACGAAGGGATACCTGAATAATAAATTCAACGTCGTTTTCCGAAGTGCCACTGTTACTGTTGCTTATCACATTTTTTATTTGAAGCTTCGCCGGTTTTCTAACATCTGGATTGCCACGTAGATTCACGCAACCGTAAATTAGTGTGATTTAAGAAAAAAAGAAGAAGATCTGACATTAGTTACTAATTCCAATATTAATTTGACGTTTAATCTGTCTCAGTACTTCGCTTTTATTACTTTCTAATTTAGGAGCGTCTTCTGGATTCTTATCTATAGCGGAAAGATCCATCAACGATGTCCATCCAGCTGACGCTGGCGGTTGCAAATGATCATTCTTGGTTTCGTCTTTCGCCAAATTCGTAGCGGAAGACCATATCCTTTTGTTCTCGGGTCCACTTTAAATAATTCATTCACAACAACAATCAATTTTTCTATGATATACAGTTCTTCAAAACAATATATCACTATTGCGATATTATTTTGCAGATATTTTATTAACTTATGCTAATAGCAAAGGCGCGTTATAATAATTGACATTTTATGCAATTTATAATTAGTGGGCGAAAGGACCTACCGTGCAGAATCTGAGGAAAGACTGGGAGACGAAGACGTGATGTCTCCCAGACTGTTTCTTCTGCCGCCATGCTCTTTATAATCCCTGAAGAGATATTATTATTGATTCGAAATGCGCATTTTGTATTGTTCCTTAGCCTTTGCTTTAAGTAATTACCTAAAACATCGTTTGCAACGCGTTGGCCACCGAACCTGCGGGTGGAAACCCAAAGGGCAAAGAGGATCGCCTTTTTTAGATGAATACATGGAGTGCATTCTGTGTACAAGTTTTTTTTTTATTATATTCTCTTATAGTATCTCGAAATAAAACAAATTTATTTATAGATATTTCCGAAGGAAATGAAAAAGAAACATATAAAATGTAATTTAATAAGCAAAGATAGATCCAATTGTTCATCTAACGGAAATAATATTTATATTGATTTTAATGTTTTCAAAACATAAATATTACCATTTAAAAATAGTAACGATAATATACAATATATAATATTTCAAATTCTAAATATATTTGTTGATATTATTTTATTTAAAGAGAGATTCGTGTAAAAAGAGGCATGAAAAGATTTACATAAAAATTACAGATAAAAATGAAATTACGTTTTAATTTTACGAGATCTTTTTAAATTCACGATTATACATTTCCGTAATTTATTTTTTTCTTACAATTAGTTGTATCGCATGACACTAATTATTGATATACTTTATACAACGGCATAATGATTTTCTCCTCTCTTAAGTGCGAAAAAGAAAAAGTAAATAATTTGATAGGAAAATTTAAAATCAATTAGTCAAATCAATTAGACAAAATACACTTGTCAGGAAAAAGAGAAACCTCTGCATTTCATTATATTCTCTGTTAAAAAATCATTGGCCAATTTTTTATAATTGCATATCTATCGATGAATTTATCATTATCGATGAATTTAAAGAAACTCGTAAAACTATAAAAAAAACTGCATGTTTAATCACTTAATTTTAAATTGACTCGTCTATCAAAAAGAATTCCTAATTGCGATGGAAAAAAAATTGTAACCGGTATAATATACCTATTCCAGAGCGCCTTTACTTATGCTGTTAATAACGTACGTAATAGCAAAGTCACTATTGCATGAGTGCAAGTTTAAATTTCCGTTTAATGAATCGTCTGATCGCAAAATCTGTGAAGAATATTTTAATAATTCACGCGATGCCAAAAAATAGAAAGAAAAGAACAATAAAACTTGTTTAAAAAGTTGATTTCTGATTGATCAGTGAATTTGTCGCCAGCGAACATTCACGAGCTGCATTGTCGTCTTCATACATATTTCTGACAATACGCACAGGCATACACACATACATACGCACACACGCGTAACAAGCGTGAGAACTGTGCGCACCGGCGCGGCGATTTATTTATAAAATTTCAATGCCACGCTGTCTCTTTCCCTTTTTTTTCACCCATCTTTTGCCTATGTAAAACGGGAATCAGAGGAGCCCGGAAGGAACGTGGGGGATAGACTTATTCGCGTTCTCCATTTGACGCGATGCCTATCTATCTCTCGACGATTTATCTCTTACGTTACGCAATCTGTCGCGTCGGTTTTTATATGATGCCTGCTACTCACTCAATCGGCACCGATATTAATCCAAATACGGCGAGCCGACGTGAATTAAATTTATCGTAGGCTGTTGCCGGTCGGTCAATCGGTCGGTCGTCGCTCGGTCAGAAACGGGCGTTCGTCGTCGCGGCGCTCGTCGTCTCTTCCATTCTGAATGAATACGGTAATCGCATCGTAATCGCGTAATCGGACAGCACTCGCATCGTAAAGGGGAGTAGTTTCTCACGATCTCGTCTTTCCTCGAAAGTCGGTTCGCCTCTGTAGTGTCTATCCGCGGATCTCGCTCATTTTTTCTATTTTTTCTTCTTCTCTTTTTGCACGCGTCCGCGTTCGAGATTCCTACGCTGCGCGCGACGTCACTAATAGCACTGACACAGCTCCGCTATTACGGAGTTTGTCCGTTTTCCCCGTAGACTGTGTGCGGGTATACGGGCGATTGGACCTACGCCAAGGTGTATATTTGTCTCTAGCTATAAATATAGGGAAGCGCGAAGACATCTTGAGCGCATGTTGCACGCGCGAGGCGAAGCTTCGTCTTCATTCATTTTTTTCGCCTCAATTGCGCGAGCGGAAGTAAAATACGCGCGATCGAGCTTAAAAAATTACGATATCCATGAGATATCTTTCATCTTGATATCACAAATGTCACAGTGGATATCCCCTCAAAGCTTTGTATTTCAAACGTCTTCAGGAATGTACAGCGCGACAGACTTATATTATATTTATGCGTTTTTCATTTTGTGGGTGTGCAAAATTAAGGTGCTATTAAAACCTAACTTAATATATTACTCAATATATTAATCAAGAAAACTATATTAATCTAGAAAGATTGTTCAATCACAAGCTATGGTGGATAAAATAAACATTCGTAATAAACATGCGGAATACGAGAGACGTATAGTGAAAAGATCGAAATATTATAAAATAGACAGGACATTAAAAAAAAAGAGGATTAATTATTTTTATTAACTTTTATTAATACACCAAATATTTCACCCATCTCCGTCACTCAGTATAAAATTGTATAAACATAGTATATATGTTTATATTTATATATGTATATAATATATTTATAATACATCATGATAAGCGATTAACTTGTCGAATGCAATATTTTAATTTTGCATTACCTTGTCAAGTTATCTACCCTACTTTGTATCAAATGATTTACTCCTATTAATCATTAAGATACTTGAAACGCATTGCACATCATCAGAATTTAACTTCTTTTAAAGAAAATAATTCGAAGTCTTGAAACTTTCTATTTATGCTCATGTTGTCTAATATTATTTTCACAGAAATGTGTAATTGTAAATATCAGCTTTTATATATTTTTCCCCATTTTCATATAAAAATGTATTAGAGTTCCTATATATTATATTAAAAAATTTTGCTTTGTATTCTTCTACAATTCTAATAATAAGAATCCTTAACATGATTATGGAATGTCTAGTAAAAAGGATAATTTCTCTGATGAAGAAAATGAAGACAAATTACTTACTTCATTTTAATATAGATCTTGAATTTTTAAAATAATTAATTTTTATATCTGTTTTATTTATTTACAGTATAATTGTTATGCATTTATTGTATCTTTTTATAGAAATATTTAAATTAAAAAATTTTTAATTTGAATTTTATCAACTTAAATCGATATTTCCATAATCCTTTATATATATATTCTTGTAAAAACCTAGTGAGAATCTCTCTCTATAGATTTTCAGTATATATGATTATTATATAATCAAATATAACTTTTTTATAGCTAATATAATTGTCTACTTGATAGAGAAGCAATCGAAAATTTTATTCGATCCACATTCAAAATTTTATCTTTCAAATCATTTATTTTTCAACAAGATATTTTTAAAAATCTAGAATAAACTTTAGAATAAAAAACTATAAGTATAAATATAATTCATTTGTACTACTTATGATGCATTTATACATATAACTGCGTCCTTATATAACAGTGTATAATTGCACCTTAGGAAGTTATAATGCAATTATATTATACATCTTGTAACAATATATAGCTGATTCGAGAGTATTAAAAAAATTGTAAAGTACATTTTATAGTACGCGATTTACGAGTACGAATGACTCTCACTGCTTAATTGGAATGTAAAAAACATAAAATTCGCGTCTAAATACACGCATGTAATTGCTCTGAATTTAGTTGAGAATATTTTCCTACTGTTTACCACAGCTAAATGATGAGCTGTTGAGATTATTTATATATGTGTGTGTGTGTGTGTGTGTGTGTGTGTGTGTGTACAAAATGTTATATTTTTTGTATTTAAAAGTATAGATATATATAATAGAAACCATTCCAAATATTTATATCACATGTCCCGTAAAAATATCAATGGTATTAATAGAAGACTTACATATTGTGTGTGCAAATTATACTTTCTTCGTTTACGTACAACTGTCGTTTTCTGCGAAGATTGATATTTAAGTGAGAATAAACATCAATTAAATTTCTCGAATATATAATTACAAATTTGCATAAATTTATATAGTACTGTACTATTTTCTTGATTTTATATAAGTTAAGACATTTTGAAAGTGTACAAGATGAAACTGGAAACTCTCTTCTGTACTATGTTTCGAATATTATTTCAGATTGTACGCATAAAATATCAAAACTACCGCACGCGAATATTTTACGCGAGAATATAATATGAAATCATTTTATTATCAATTTTATAAAAATAACCTTTTGCATTGAAATCCGAATTTCATAACACACTTATGTATTATAATTATGAAACTGCCGATAATGTAATTTTTCATAGCCAGATAGATAGGAAAAGATAAAGCGCGCGAAAAAGAGACAGGGACGTATTTTGTTTAGTGTGCTATTTTAACAAACTCCGCACTTTGAATATCTTACAATCTTGAGCGAAGCAGCTCGATTTTTTTGGCGGCGCGTTTCTGCAAATCGGGCAATTTCATGGCAAGCCCCATGTTGCCTTGAATTTTAACCTTCCCTTGGAAGAAAGCCTTCTGCGGATTTAATTTTCCAGAAATGAAATCGACGATATCGGTATCGCTAATCGTGAATGTTACATCAGGTTTGGTTTTGCCATTGTACTCGACTTTGCCTTTACCCGTTTTTGCGTCTACAATCCAATATCCTTCGGCGCCACCGGGACCATTTATGACTTTAAATCCGTAAATTCCACGCATTCTCTCAACCAGATTCTCATCATCTTCTTCCATCGCGATTGCCAGTGTCTTGAAGAGTACATCCGCTTGGAAGATACTCGAATCAGCGGCAACATTCACGTTCTTTCTGATTATTGCCCGTTTCGAGAAGCCCAAGCGGTAGAGAGCCACGATGACTGCACCGCCCAGACCTATGTTGTGCTGAAGTGCCAATTTGGCGTCTCGCACCTGTCTCTTGCCAGCCTCACCGCGAAGTTGCCAGGTAAGTTCAGCACACTGTGCTAATCCTGTGGCACCCAGAGGATGTCCTTTCGAGATTAGACCGCCGCTCGGATTCACAACGTACTTGCCACCGTAGGTGTTGTCTCCAGCCTCTATCATTTTACCGGCATGACCAGGAGCGCACAATCCTAAGGCTTCATAAGTGATTAACTCGTTTGCAGAGAAACAGTCGTGCAGCTCTATCACATCTACGTCGCTCGGCCTGCAGTGGCTCGATGTAAAAACTTTCTCAGCTGCGTTTCTTGTCATGTCATATCTGCAAAATATCGCAATAGAATTAGTAAACTAACAATTGATCCTATTGGGAAACATAATATAATAACTTGTTTATTTTTTCTCGTACCCGACAATATTCATACACGATTGAGTGTTAAATGTCGAGGATAAGTCAGTGGACATTTCCATAGCAAGGATTTCGACAGCCTGTGATTCCAAATGATGCTTATGAACGAAGTCCTCGTTAGCTAGAATGACAGCTGCTGCACCATCGGAAGTGGGACAACACTGGAGCTTCGTTAATGGTCCAAATACTTTGGGAGAATTCATAATTTGCTGCAAGGTGTATTTCTCTTGGAATTGAGAGTACGGGTTGTTTGTAGAATGCAGATGATTCTTATATGCGATTTTTGCAAAGTGCTCGGGCTTTGTGCCATACTTCCTCATATGCTCGATCCCAGCATTGCCAAACATTTGAGCGGTGATAGGACCCTCCGACAGACCTGTGCCATCGATGATTATGAGACAAACAAGCTAAATACATTACATACCGTTTCATTTTATGTTTTAAAAATTCTGGAATTGACCTGCGATATTTGCCATGAGCTCAACATGCTTATCCATGGGATTCGTGCGATCTGAAAATTTGGACATCAGGGAACCTCGCTCCATCTTCTCAAATCCAAGCGCTAGAATGCAATCCGCGTTGCCGCTCTCAACTATCTGTTTGCCAAGGTAGAGAGCTGTGGAGCCGGTGGAGCAGTTATTGTTGACATTGTAAATGGGACATCCGGTGAGCCCAATCTCGTAGATTGCCCTTTGACCGCAAGTGGAGTCGCCGTACACGTACCCAACGCAGACGGCCTGCACATTGTTGTAGGATACGCGCGCGTCCTGCAGAGCCTTGGTAACCGCCTCCTTCGCCATTTGCGGGTAGTCGAAGTCATCCCTACGGCCGGGCTTCTCGAACTTGGTCATCCCGACGCCGATCACGTACACTCTCGGCTTGTAAACCATCCTGGCGATCTGTCTCTTCAGGCACGAGCGAAACGCTGCAAAATTTCCCTTAAGCAAAACACGAGCGAGAACCGTTCTTTTTGCGAGACTTCCTCGTGTGACGAATGTTCAGGTTGTGAAAGTAGAAACGGAAAAAGAGAAAAAGAAATGACACACGTAACGTCGCTGCTACAGGATTACCGAGATTAGGCGATCGATCTCCGCGAGACGTACTCCGTTGGACTTTAATCCTCCATGTATTGCGGTTGATTGTAACAAAAAAGAGAAATTACAATGACAAGGCGGTTTACAGCGGACTCCGATTCACGATAACGAGCGACGATCACATCTCACCACGGCGCGAATAACGACCTAGATCGTTGTCTCTAGTGAAAATAATACGCTCCACGCAAGGTGTTATTTAATTGCGACTAACGTGTAATCGTGCCTCACGCAAAATGTTTCTCTATCGAGGAAACTTTCTATTGAAATAATAATAATAATAATAAAAATATACTTCGCATAAATTTAAAGTTATGCGCAATATTTTAATAATTGCCTGAGCGGAACAACAATTAGTCACTATTAACGTCAAAATGACATTAAAATGAAATCGGAAATGATTGAAAAACGACTTTTAATGATCATTTTGGAATCATTTTGACATCATTTTAGTATTATAATGACTTGTTGCTCCGTTTGGGTGGATGCGCAAAACATACGATTGACTTTTGTCCAGTAAGGCCAGAATATTTATCAACTTCAACTGAAGAATAATGTTTACGAGTATTTCATTTCCCTTGCAAATCTGTCCATTTCCCGTTCGCACTATTTAACGGAGAAGAAAAAAACATATAATAGTATAGAGGGAAAAAAAAGATGATAATTGCGTATTTATACATGATGAAATTAATAATAAAATTCGTAATAATATTAAAAAGAATCGTATTTTGAATTGAGAAAATTTCCAAATAGACATTTCCAAATGAGAGGCTCCACACAACATTGCTTTCCATTTAGTAACACGTACGGATCGACACGGACATCATTCTATCTTTAAACGAGTAACAAAGACAACGATACTTGTGTGATCAAATGGAAAGTACCCAATAGCTCCCAAAGCAGTTTTATCACAGTACATTGAATGCCATTTAATGACACAATTAAGTTGATTCGACACACGTGTCGTTCTATCTTCTTTACTCACTGAATATCAAGAAAGATAGAACTTACATTAAAATGGAAAGCACCCAGCCAGCATCAATGTTACGTTACTTTGTGTTTACGACGTATAAATTAATAAATAAATGTAATGTAATATTTGAACTGCATTTATTTCTTATACCCGAAAATCATTGCTGAAATTGATGAAATAACAATATGGAAAATCAAATTATTTTACACGTAAACTCTCCTTCCTTTGAAAATTCGAACGTATACACCTGCGTGTATACGTTCCAACCGAGGAAGATAAAAGCCGCGAATGAACTAACCCGTTTAAAGTTTAAAGTCTACGCCGCACATTGGCGTAGACTTGCCGAATGCCTACGCCGCTGGACGGCGCTGCGCCGGCCATTGCGCGGTCGTGTTTTGGCCGAGCGAAAAGATGGCGGATCGTTGTTTTCGATATCGCTCGCGCTCGCAACACGTCGGCGAGGTACGTCGCGGTTCAACGCAACTTTGAGGTCAATCCCGCGCGAAAGTTGACATGCCGCACCACACGTGCACCAGTCCCAGCCGTGGTAGATCGTCGTTGCAGCAGTGACGGTCGCGCGTGCGACTGGTGCGACTGCATCGCGCGGTACTCGCTGCATCGTGCTGCTGCTGCATCGTCTCGGCGTCATTGTCGCTGCCGTCGTAGTGGTGTGTCGTTAGTGGTCGTGATCGTCGTCGTTGCCCCGTCCCGGTGCGAAGCGGTGTAAATCACACAAAATTTTCGGATCTTGACGAGCAATTCCGACAATTTGTCGCCAGCGAGTCCAAGAGTCGATGCGAACGGGCGTGAGGACGCCATCGAGTCGGTAAAATGGTCACGCATCACCGCGAGTTTTTCTAACCCTCCTGTCGCTGTTTACCGCTCCCCCGCAAGAGACACGATTTTGGTTAGGTTACTCAAGTCGAGATTCGCGCATCCTATGACACCGGAACGCCGTCGCGCGTGTTCCTCGTGGTGGCCCATGTTGACAATGTGACGCGACATCGGAATCTGCGATTTGGTAATCGATGGATAATACATCCGCGATGGCGAACGATTTCGACGCAGAACAATTCGAGCGAAGACTCCACTCGCTGAAAGACTCGCAGGAGTCTATCCAGGGTCTCTCTGCATGGTGCCTCGATAGGAGACAGCATCACAAGAAGATTGTCACCACGTGGCTACAGGTTTTAAAGAAAGGTAAATGCCAAATCATTTTCTATGGTCAGCAGAAAACGCAGCTTTGCAACTGTTGTAAAATTCTTTAATATGATTGGTTTTGCGTTTTGCCCTTAGTTCCTCACTGGATCTAAATGTATAAACCAATCATATTAAGGAATTTTACAATAGTTTCAAAGCTGCTTTTTCTGCCGAACGCAGCCATAGGTTTACTATGATAGATTTACTCTCATAGATGTAAAATATTATCTTTTCTTACAAATAAGATCGTTTGCTGTATTTGTGTTAGATTATTTATATATGGAACTTACATAACTCTATCATATACTTCCATCGTCTTAAATATTCAATGTTAAAAGATACAGTTACTAAGTAAAGATGAAATACATTGTTACTATATAAAATTCATTTTTTTTTTTTTTATAACAGTGAAAGTGGAACATCGGCTCACATTATTCTATTTGGCCAACGATGTCATTCAATATTCAAAGAGGAAGAATTTTGAGTTTGTGGAGTCATGGGGCACTACTTTGCAACGTGCTACTCCTATGGTTCGCGATGAGAAAGTGAAGCATCGTATTCTGAGAATTTTCAAAATCTGGGATCAACGGCAAGTCTACGATGAGGAGTTTCTTGCCGATCTATCCGGCTTAATTTCAGCGGCACCAAAAAAGAAATTGGATCCTCCACCGACCACACAGCCTGAAGAGTTTCAGGCAGCTTTGCTCATTTCTACAATGAGGTCTTGTGCGACTCTGGAACAAGCTACTGATGCCAGATTACGTGATTTACGGGAGAGTAACATAGACATAGAATCTGCAGAGGAGTTACGTTCGTCGTTAAAGGACAGAAGACGCATGGAAGATGCAGAGAAAGAAATAGATTTGGTTGCTAGGAACGTCGAGAATTATGTTCGTGCATTGGAAGCAGAGATTAGGGAAAGGGCACAAGTGGTTGAATTGTTGGACCAAGCGGATCAGTTTTATGAGACTCAACGTGGGGAAGTTAAAATAGTAACGAATGTAAGTGTCAGATTTTGCAAAGTGATTCAATATCGCTGGTTTCTCATAATATATTTCTCGTAAATAGGCGTACCGAAATTTTGGCAGTCGTGTCAAGAATTTAAAGAAAAAGTTAGATGAATTACTGCCTACGTTCGTCTCGCCTATACCATCGCCGGATATAAACGCGCCTTCGCCGAGTCCCGACAGCGATATAGAGTTACCAGGAGATGAAACTCAGTCAATAGTTAATCAATCAGGAATGATTGACGTGGCACCACCGTCTCTGTACGGTTCATATTCTCACGAGTACGATCCTATTCCTGTACCTGCGCCTGATATGGTACAAGGCAATGAGTCGGCGGACTTTACTAATAATTTTCCTTCTTTTATGGGAGGAAATGTAGATTTTGGTAATATGGTAAGAATAAAGCAATAGTTGCATATATATCATTTTATAAAAGTTCTGCATTGCTTTAAACATTCGGTACATTGTATAATGTTGTTTTGTTTTCTTTAGAGAAACATATTTAACGAAACCTCTGAGACATCTCCTGAGATGTCTCAACAGTACAATGAGTCTTTAGAGGTAATTATTCATATTATTTACATTTGCAACATTCTATCAAAATATGCGCTTTATGAGTTCTGTGATTTTCAGGCAAAACCAATAGAAGTAATTAATATGAGACCTTCAAAAGATGAACAGAACAATGCGGACTTTAATATATCTAGTTTCCTGAAGACGGTTCTTCCATTATCTGATGGAACGGCAGATTCGGGTGCAATTCCAGGTTTAGGCCTGGACGTTTCTGAAAATCAGGTGGAATCGCCACAACGTCCCAGTTATTCGCCCTCGTTAGGGCCTGTAACGCCTGTGATCTCAAGAATGATGAGTAATCAGGGTACACCAGCCGTTAGTGGAGGCGGTGGTTTAAACAATTGTCAGATGAGTCACAGTACTCCAATATCGGTTCGCAATCTGCCCGAATCTCACACCCCTTCTCCGTATTCCAGTCAAAACAGTCAAAATAACATAGCTGGTCCCTTTGATGGACCCACCAACAATACGGTTAACCCTTTACCTCCCCCACCCTTACCGCCTCTCTTCCTTGATGATGAGAATTGTTACAATAAGTTACCACCAAAATTTCCCACATGGATGCCGGCGAACGAGGGTATCAAGGACTCGGCAAAATGGGAGGAAAAAGGTATTTTTGAAAATAATATTTTATGATTCAATTCTCTTAACTTCTTTATTATTATTCTACAATAATGCATAGTGTTAGTTATAATAAATTTTGCTACATGTTTAGGTAAGAATAGCATGAATCCTGCATGGCCTGGCGAGTGTGATGATAAAAACAAGAATTCCTGGATGGATGGCGATGGAGATAGATGGGACTCCAATAACGATTCCACATGGCCGGTCAGTAGAACAAAAAATGACATGCTATCCGAGACTCCTGAATCGCCGCCCATGTATGAAAAAGCTGGTTTTGCCGAGCCGGTGGAATACAACGAGCCACAACCACAAGAATCTTTGAATACTACAAGAGATGTAGATCATAGGTAATACAATTTTTATACCAGTTTCTATCCGAAACTGTAATTATATATATTATTGTTTTGATTTTTAGATTATCGATCAATTATATGATTTTCTAATCATTAAAATCTATATATTTTATATATTTTCATATCATTTACAGAGTGATTCCAATGCCAATGGCCCGCGAAAATCAGCTACCATATCGCTTGATGAAAGCGGCAGATGTGGATCATCGTAATCTGATCAGTTTGACTGGCAGTCCGGCAAATAACCACAATCCTGGTGAGCCGTCTTCTTTATCCAATAACAACAATCTATGGTCCACAGGCGATCAGGATTATCGGTGAGCTTTATATTGTTTTCATATCCATTTTTATAACTAGATATGTACACTGGCCGACAGAAATACCTTTACACATTCAAGATCGATGCGTTTTGGAACACATCGATCTTGAATGTGTAAAGGTATTTCCATCGGCCAATGTACATTTCTTATATAATTTGTATTCATTCTCATATATATATATATATATATATATATACATATATAATCTTTATATGATTTGTATAATTTAGGCGACACATGCAGTCTGGTGACATTGTTGAAAGTGTTGATATGGAGATGTCGGACGATGAGACTGACAGCAAGCCGAAAGGCAGGGTTCTTGTCGATCTGAGGTTGCAGGATCGCGACATGCGTGTTGGTGCACCACTATCATCCCATCACGACATGGATATGCGTATGATTCCTCTTCCCATCGGGCAAATGCCCGATCCGCATGATAATCAACTCATGCAAGATATGCACTTGATGCGTTCGGGACCACCTCCACCGCCACCGCTACCGCAGTTCCAACATCAGGGTCAAGGTGGTTTCCGACAAGATCAGCCGATAGATTTTCATCCGAATCAACCGAAGTTTCTACAGAACAGACCACCAAACTTTCTACGGAATCAAGATTTTCATTCAAATCAACAAGAATTTCATCAGCTTCATCAATCGCAACAAGACTTTGAATATCATGATAGAGAACACAATATCCGTTCAAAGCAAGATTTTTTGGCGGAATCACCAGGACGCGGGAGATATTCGCAATCGGTGGAGCATCAACATCAACACGACAATCCACCCTTTCATAGAAACGAATGGAATAATCGCGGTGGTCGTGGATTTCCGAGGAACCGCCGGGATAGATACTCGGAAGATCACAATGTACAAAAGCAGCGAAACAATTTATTGAATAGTCGCAAATCGAGATCGCAGGATCAACAGCATCACCAGTCACCGTCGGAGATCCCACCCAATAATCGACCATTACTGCAACCACCTGACATCGCCTTCGATGAGAAAGGTATACCGATCGGCTTACCCTTACCATTACCGGAATTTGATCAGGACAACAACGTGCTACCTAACACTCAAACTGAACCGGAACATAATTCTGATAACTGTCAGAATTCTTTAGTACCACATGTACAGCGGACTTTGTATGACATGCCGAGTTCTCACGATTCCGAATGCAATCAACAACAGCAGAATTGTCAGCTAGATTCTGATGAGCAGCAGACATCGTCTTTGGCTGAGTCGGAAGATCAGTCATCAACGATAAATCAAACGACGGTTATTCCGATAAGGACAGATAACGTTGGCGATGAATCGCAACAAAAGCAACACGTTCCTATTTCAGAATGCGAGGAGCACGTTGAATCGACTGAACACTCCGATTTCGCAGAGAAGACAAGTGCGATTGACGAACTGGTTAATGAAGGACAGAACGTGAATTCTATGGAAACGGAGTCGTTAGATGAGTCAATGACTTTGACCACATTAAATAAAGAGATAAAGAGAACAGCAAACGGTGATTGCGACGAGCAAAGTCACGAAGAAGGAAGCCCCAACAAAAAAAGGCCTCTCTTGCAGAACGGGCCGCCAATGCTGAATGATGACTTGTCTGGCCCGAATGGTCCCACACCAACAACGGATTTACATCCTGCCATGATGTACGAATTCGACGGACCAAATTTCCGGCCACGCATTGGCGCACTTTTCCCGCTCTGGCGAGGCGGACTACCTCCTCCGCCTTCCTCTAGAGGAGGCAGAGGAGGTTTTAGAGGTGGGCTCATGGGAATGCCGCGAGGTCTATGGATGGACAGAGGACCACGCGGTCCTATAGTCGGCAACTTCTCACCAAGAGGATTGAAACGTGGAGGCAAACAATTTTGGGGCGGTGGTTTCAGAGGTCGGGGACGAGGCAGTAACTGGTAGATAAAGAGAAAAACTTTGAAAGACTCGACGACTCCGTCGTCGTAATCTGACCGGATACATATGCGAAATGCGTTTCGCTCTCTGTAAATAAACAAACCGACACGCTTCGACATTCACACACGCGTGCGCTCGTGCGCGCACCCACCCACTCGTTCACACACACACACATACACACACGCACGCACGTACGCACGCACGCACGCACACTTAATACATACACGTACATAAAAGTAGATACAGAATCGGTTGGTTCTAAACAGTGAGATCTTCAGTAATGAAGATTCTTCACATTCTCCTGTGCGATTGATTCGCCTATATAAATATATAAATAACAGAACTATAGATATATATATATATATATAAACATATAGATATATGCATACTTAGTACATGTTTTGTTAAGAACTTAATGAGTGTTATCGAAGCGGCTTACGTTCGCATACATGTATATACATGTGTACACACATATGTGCTATTATCGAGCCCAGTAAATGATTAAGGGCAACGTACGGGCAATCTGGACGCGATATGTCGTCGTTTATAGTCGCTGCGATAATGACTACAATCGTCACTCCCATAGGTTTTTATGTCAGGAGGGTTTGTGTTTATGTATGCGCTGAGAGAATTGCTAATGATAAATTTGCCATCTCGTGAAGGAGGGTCGAGCTTTCAGCGAGTCGAATACTGGAAATCATAAAAACTACGATAGTTAATTGACAGCATCGATTGAAACCGAGCGTAATTTCACTGAGTTCATATTTCCGTGTTGTAAATTTACGAAAATAATCACTATGAAATAATAACATGAGCGGAAAATGAACTCTCTTTCTCTCGAAATTACGGCAGTTTCAATTTTTTTACTAATAATATATGTTTCTGACCCGATCACTATCCATATTCTATGGTCCATATTCCAAAAGTCTTCTATTCTTTCCTTTCCTCGTCCACCTTCAAAATAAGAATTGCAATCACTTGTTTCCTCCTCACCTATGCCTTCAATTCATCTGACTGTGTTCTCCGACGTTTGGTCGAGGTTCATTATAAGAGAAGAGAAAAAGGAAAAAATGGAAAATATACAGGCGTGTCAATGAACATTTTTAAAGTGTACTAATAAAATACAGTGTTTACGTTCTGGTCCGCTTCGTACATTTTCCCTATTGTTATTTCTCGTTTGTATTTCGTAGGTGATGAGTGTTTCTTCTCGATCGTAAATTGTTCTTGTTTATAAGAAAAAACGGCAATAATTAATTTGTCAGTAATCTGAAGACTCAACCGAAAGCGTCACATTTAATTTGTTTTATGTCGAAAACACAAAACAAATTAAATATGAAGAAACTATAAACTACATTTTATAATTTATAGTTTTTCTGACGAAAGAGAGCATCACATTTAATTTGTTTTGTATTTTCAACATAAAACAAATTAAATGTGAAAAAACTATAAATTATAAAATTTTATTATAAAAAATTATTTTTAATATTCGATTCGAAAGATAGGCTTATAAAATGTTCTTATAATAACTAATATTTTTTCTGTATTTATGATTGAAAAAAAGAGATTGTAAAATGAATAAGGCTTTAATGCCGAAACGATACGCTTGCTTAGCTATTTGCAAAATTCTTTATCGTTTTGCAATTGCTTGTGCATTCAAATATCGCCAAATTATTAATCACGAATTTCGAGTTTTTGTTTAGAAATCTTTTAAAAATCAATTAATTTTAATTTTTATTATATCCTTCAAAAATTTATTTTTATTTTATTGTCCTTCGAAAATTAATTTTAATTTTTATTATATCGATCAGTACATTTATTTTCTCTTTGGTTTTCCTACTGTAGAAGAGGTTGTATTGTTTTGTTGAAAGCAAGCAAATCGTTGTGGCACTCGAACTGAGTGTAGCAAGTGTAAAAAGCCCGTGAAATTCTCTCTCTCTCTCTCTCTCTATCTATTTATCTATCTATCTATCTTTCTAATTGTTTAATAAATAATATTGAGGATGTTTTTCTCTCTCCAACTTTCAAGTTTGATGGGTGAAACTATACTTCCGTTCTCGGGCAACACCGTTTTACCGACGCACACGGGTCATTCGTAGCTCACAAATATGTTATTGTTACGATTAATGCGAGAATGTAAAACGTATATATCATCTCGACGTGTAAATCTAACAATTCCCTTTCTTTTTTCTTTTCTTTTTTTCGCAAGTATCGCGATCTCAACATGCACTGCCTTACTACATTTCTCATTTATAATTTTTTTCCGTACGTAATTGCAAAAGTATGAAAAAGAGATGCGATTTTATATCGATTGTGACTCGCCGTGCGCTTCGTTCTTTTTCAAGCTCGCGATAATAGTGATTCAATTGGATTAGGACACCGTTCATCGGTCGGCGAGTGAAAACGAAGACGATATTGCTCTAGATTACGTGGATGGGTTGGGAAAGGGGGCGAAGAGAGGGAAGAAGAGGGATGTGTGGGATACGCGTGGAATATGCGGCTACAATGCAATTTCATGAACAGGATGGCGATATCCATGGGTAGTATTTTCGTAGATCTGTTCTTGCGTCGAACGGTCGGATATGAAACTCCTGACACTTCCGGAAGATATAGGATATATCGAGAATATATGTTTCCGATATAGGCTGTCTCGGAAGGGGTGTGAATTAGTAATAGAATTTTATCTCTCCGCGATATGTATATAGCGATAATTTATCATTTTCCCTTTCTTTCGAAGAAAATAAATAATTTTTCTTTCTCTTAATTAAAATATGATCATAAAAATATTAATAACGCATTTATGTTTTCGATCTATTTATTGTGTATTTGTAAATGTATTAGCAAAAGTTGTGTGAAGCTATAGTTGATTTGTGATCTTAAATAAGATAATTGTTAATTAATATAATATATTACAAATAGTTGTATAGATAATTTATCAGCTTCAATGTTGCAATATAAGTTAACGAAGTTCCTTACAGATGTTAAAATGTGAAACAATTGAAAGTTTGCTGAGAATTACAATAAAAAATGTCGAATGAGTTGTTTCAATAAACAGGGTGCTCTTTGTATATAAATGGCAGAATTTCGTTTCTTTAATAATTATTTTATCCTTTTTTTTATATTAATAGAAACATGTCTTTGATGTTAAATAACGGAAAATATTCTATTAATAATGAAAGTTTTACAAAGAAAGTAAACTTGATAATTTTTCTAATCTTTTTACTTTTTGAAAATAGATCAAGGCTTGAATAGTAATTTAAAATAAAAATTTTAGCCAAACAAGAATTTTTCTAAAATTTTTTTATAGTGTTATTATACTAATATACATCACGTTTGAGACAGCCTGTACATTCGTGTACATAATACTACGCGTTTTCTTCGAGAAGCTACATTTCGCACTTAAAGTTTTAATAATGGAACCGCTCAAGAATTTTGCAACTTATATAAATTTATAAGAGTTTTAGCTAGAAGTGCCTTTTTCACTAAAGCGAATCTCCGTCTTGTTTTGTGGGGGGAAAATGTAACATGTCTTATTTTTTGATGGGGTGAGAAAAGTGTATATGAACAAAATTACGAATGCTTCTATAATTTAATTAGTCGGATATATGCACGAATAATGAAAGATGAGAGAATGAAACAGTGTTTGTATGTGTATGTATATCAGAGCGAGCGAGTGGGATAGAGAGAGTGAGAGAGGGTAGGAAGTAGAGAATAATCGATTCAAAGTTCTATTAATAAACGAAGTACGGTTATTTCAGCGAATTATTATGTATATACATTAAATTAATGTTTAATTAATTAATTTTACATTAACGTTAAAGTTAACGAGTTTTATATCAGGATATAAAACGAATGTGCATACTGTGTATGCGAAAAGTTTTGTACATTGCTTAATAAAAGATTGATCTTTATTATTGCAGGTCCAATTTATTTTTATAATTATAGAGTATTGTATATTTTTTATTTACTACCTACGTATCAACGTAGATAAATTATATGTTGATATCAATTACTTTTGAAAATAAAAAAAGTATTTGCGTAATAATACAATTATCAGTTATAGATATTTTGTTATCTAAATTTTTATAAAATATATTTATTATATTTTAAAGAAAATCGAAAACATTTAACATTCGAAGTTAGTTATTTTTAAAAGGATAACTTTATATTGTAAAAAGATTTTTGACCAAAGCAAATTTACACTTTTAAATTGTATTAATTTTTATTGCTAGAATTTAGAACAAGATCTTTCTTTTATTTATAGTCGATTTTTATGGAAGCATAACATATTATAAATCTTATATTATGTTATTGTTTTTTATACATATAATTAGTTTTATATTATATATTATTTATTTATAAAAATGATTGTATGAAAATCTTCCAAGTGAGCGGTAATTGAGCGCTACTTTAAATTCTATTTTATATTAATATTTATATTTTTAACGTGCAAAAAACGTATTGTCAAAGAGACTGCAACGATAGAAATTATCTAAATTTTATTTGGAGTTATTTCTTTGTTTCTCTCTCAAAATTTTAGAGCTATTAATGATTAAAAAATGTAATGAATATATCAATATATTTGGTGAATTATACAAATAAATATTAAGATGTTATTCCAAATTTAATTATTTAATTTTAAACAAACTTTATTTTATTATATATCAAACAATACATTTTTAAAGGACTGGCAAGATAAGTGAGTCATGCATATATGAATAAAAGTTAAGTGAAAAAATACATGGTAATAAATATTTTATTCAAATCGTTGGACAATCACATTAGTGAATTATTTCTAATATTTAAAAAATATATACAAAAGATATTTACAAATAAACAAACGATCCGTCGTTACTGCATTTGATATAAAAATAAATATGTCGTAACGCATTTCCTCCTCATAATCTTTATATCTTACGACACGCAATCGCAATCGTAAAATAATGAGTCGCAACACTCAGGAAAATACGCAAACGCAAGAAAAAGATAGACGTGCGTTGTTAGTTTTGTGATGCGCGCTTATGAATTGACAACTAGTATTCTTGAATTGATTTCAAGCTCGTCGCAATTTCTTTCGCTTGCTTTAATTGCGAAGTAAAAAAAAATAGTTTTTTCGCCTCACAATATTTTATCGCAACATGTTGTCATTTATTTGGCCGATAGATACATGTTAGAGAAACAGATATTAAACTCAAGTAGCACACAACGTTTACAAAGCGTTAACAAAGCGCTGAAAAAAAAGATATAATCGCGTTTTTAGCGCTTTGCAGGCACTGCTATGCTATTTGGGATTTCCTGTTTTTCGATTGTATCATTCTATTTTTAACCAAACAGATCAATTCAACGAGCACGATTTTCCAATATCACTCTTTCGACATATAGCAAAATATAGTCCCAAGAATATCCAGCGGACATATCCTTAAGAATCTTCGGACGTTCAGATTTGATTTATAATTTAATATGTAGGTACTTGCGATAAGATTAACATTATTGTGTAATTACTCAGCCGTTAAATTAACGACTGTACATATGGGATATCCTTAGGATACACGCGGATGTTTTTAGAATATTTCTTAAAGGTATTTATAGTTTTTTATATTGGGATAAACTCTTCACGTCATTTTACACTTTACATTTTAATATTGTATACCTTTGGATTTCTATACGGAGATACAGGTGTCAGAAATATTGTTGTTAATTAGAGCTACGTCCTTAAAGTTGTTAGTGTGACATTAGATGTCTTAATATATTCTTCTCGACGTTCTGAGCAAATCGGAATATCCTAGAATCGCGTGCTACATGGAAATCGAGCCGATCCAATAACAGCAATTAATTACAGTGCATCACGTAAAATAGCTCGATGCGGATATCTTTCGGACATGATACTCTAACAAAAACTTTGTCGTAGTTTTAATTGCGCGTACACGGAATATATATAGTCTCTTTCATTTTGATTAGAAGTGTTACTCGGCGATAACAATCAATTCGCGGGAATAATAACGCTATTATTGCGCGTTTTCGCGTACAACTTAAATCATTTGAGATATATCTCCTTATGTTATTTTACTACCGATTCATGTCATCTCGTGCCTCGCAATCTTTGGTCTCTCTCACTTTCTTTGGTTTCTCCGCTTCCTCGTCACTTAAACATGACAAGGTGTAGCTAACGTACGTCGCTTCTATATTCCTACAGTATCTTCATTGTATCGATTATCTTTATTTACATTACAAACATTAATATATTTACGATATTATAGATCAGAAATGAGTCTTTTTTAATAATTATTACTGGACATTACATGCCACAAGTTTTACAGAAATATTTTTCTGAACACAATAATACTTCATATATCAAACTTGATTAGATATGGATAGAGAGTGCATCTCAAAGAATGAAAAGTTCTTCTCATATTTTCAATCTTTAGTCATAGTTTTTTATCATTTCTATTTAAAAGCGACTGTTCGACTACACCCTGCACGCTTTAGACGATTTATCAATCGGGAGAACTTGATCGCTAAAGTTAGTTCAAGTTGTCATTCATCGTTTGTCACAAACTGGTACTCTCTTCCCTCGCATCTACTCTTTCCAACATTCCTTTTTCGTCGATACCTACAAAGTACGTCGTGACTTCTCCTTTCGGCTTAACGTATGTTTCGCCACGTAGATGACACTTGACACCTTGTTGCTCCAAGACAGCAGCCGTATCCGCTGTCACCTAAACGAACGGAAATATAAATCGTTTTACTGTACAAATTCATTAATATTAAATATAATGTTAAATTTACTTGTATTTTTCCTGATAGTCCAGTAGTATCCATCCTGGACGCCATGTTTACGGCATCGCCCCAAATATCGTACAACGGCTTTTGAGCCCCCACGACGCCGGCCGTCACCTCTCCGTGAGAAATACCGATTCTTAATCTAAAGAGATAAATCGGATTTAATTTTTTGGTATTATTCTCGGAGCAGCATTTGTCCGTTTAAGTTAATTATGACATTCTCGAATTTATCTCAAACGTTTCGTCGAAACTCCTTATAATTTTGTCTATCGATTTTTACTTGGAATCACTTACTTGTGAGGTTTCGATGTAGTGAATGACCTTGCATTCATCCTATCGAGCACGGACATCATTTGTACGGCGAATTGCGCCATCACCTTGACCACATTGTCGCTGCAACTCTCGTCGCTCTCGGTGCTGTGCATTGAACCGCGTCGGTGCGCTTCCAATCCGCAAGCTGCCATATATGTTGTTCCTAAATAAAAACAGTATCAAACGAACTCAAATTGTCATTTAGATTCCAGTTTGCGTCAGTATTAATTTATTCGTTATAAATATGCATGAGATTCTCACCGGCGACCTTTATTTTTTCTATGCGACACATGAAGCTAGGTTCGAAAAGTAACTTGTCGAATTCACAAATAATTTCGTTCAAATCGCTGAGAATGTTACTTTCGACAATCGACAGCTCTGTCAGAGAGGCAAACATCACGGCAACATTGTTATGAGCCTCGTGATAAGGCTCGTTCTCCTCGGTTCGATTCATATTCAAATAAAACTCCGCTAAAAATACAACCAGTCACGCGATCAGTTTCGGACAATATAATCATCTCGATTACTAAGTGTTTTTTAAGTCAATGTATCAATTGGAGAATTTATTAAGAACTCGTAAAATATTTGCGGGGACCAACGCACCAACGTGTTCTGGTAAGATATTACGAAGTAGAAGCTTATTGGCATTCCTCGTATGAAACGCTTCGTCCTGTTCCTTCGTTAACTGACGTTTCCACTGATAATCCAGTCTACTTAAATATTCTGCCTAAATAAATGTTCGTAAAATTAACTCGTTGGTGAATAACGTTAAAAAGGTTTCGTGCGAATGCGATATTTCGGGGCTTACCTGACGATCGATGAGATGCAAAGAGAACGTGAGAAATAAAACGGACAATATATGCGCCAGTCTAGGCTCCATGTTAGGATTCCACGTGTCGCTTAACTAAAAGACATACTATCTGTCATTTATTATTAATAAACAATTTTGTATGCCATATATTTTGAGGCAATATGTATATTTTTTTATCGATTTTGTAACAGCAGAAACATTTCTTTAGAGAAATATGCATGTAACACCTGAAATATATTAGATCGGTGCACCCAAACGTTCCACGCGTAAAAGGCTACCACGCAGATGCTTATCACGAATTTCAAGATATAGTGAACTCTCAGGAAAAGGAAACTCGTGAGAATCGCCAACGAGCAGGTTTCTGTCATTTGCTGGAAAAGAAAAATCAATGACGTGCGAGAACATTCAGAAAGGGATTGTCAAGATAAGAAATTTCACGTGAATGAAGACACCGTGTACCTACTAAATAATCTTACCCAAGGTGTAGCTATGCAGTCAAACTTGGAGGAGATCTCCGACACGCTAGACGTTACATTAGCATCCAATAAGTCTTCATGGTGGTTTTTACACTCAAACTAAAAAGAGTTTTAACTCTTTAATTGCAAAAGAAAGAAATTCGATCTTTCGATTTACAGCTAATAGACAACTTCCAAAGCTGATTTTGTAAATGTATATGAAATAATAGACGGAAAAGGAAAGAATTAATTTATTAAGAAAACTCTTAATTTTTTAAAGACGAATCTTACAATCATATCAAGCATGGCGCATGCTGCTAGCATTATCGTAATCACCAGGTACAAGATCGTCCTCAGAAGGGCACTCCATACAACCTACGTGAAAACAGTAACATGAAAAAGAAAATCAACAGAATAGCTGATATAATTAAATAAATATGTATAATAAGCATTCATAACAACGTTCTATCTACCTTTACACTAGTTTGATAAAAAAAGTAGAGTAGTTTGTTTCGTGGATGCGGAACGTGTCCTTCGTGCTCATCATGCGGGTCCTTGCAGCGATTCCATACGAAGTGCATCCATGTGAGGGGTATTAAAGCGAACAGAAACATCAATGCCGAAAAATAACCGACAAGTGTGCGCAGATGCCATCTAAAAATTTATCGATTTTCGATTATTAAATCGACAATCTATGATTACCGGACAAGTAATCTTCTGATATACGTACTGAGGCAGCATAAACGTGGGCACAAGATACATAAATCCCATGAAGATGAGCACGAAAGCAGAGCAGCCGATGTAAAACTTGAAAACAGGGTCCGGTTCACGCAGGAATGGAATCTCCCAACTCCATTGCCGAAATGTCAGAAAGAGTGGATTTATGTGTTTCCAATTGCTCCATTGTCTAGAAAAAACGTCTATTTAATTTTATGAGCTTCACTCTCACTCTTTCTAATATCTTTCTATTGAAATGTAATACTTTGTCCAGAATTTTAAAAATTTAACAAGTTTCTAAGGACTCAGCGATTGGATTATCAGACAGACTCGATGTAAAAATCCTTACTCCCATTTGCTAAGAGGCATCTGGTTAATTGCGTTCTCCATCTCAGCGTCCGCTGCTTTCAACATCAGATGATAATCTCGTAGACAAGAATCCATGAAGTGCGTTCTCCGTCTGTAAGTGCTTGCAAAAACGTCCGCCTGATTGTTCACCATCAATCTTGTTCTAGAATTGGTGCTGATGATGGTGTTGGTACGCCCATTGTTGAACTTGACGTAGTGCTTGTTTGACATAGAATATGACAACGTCGGCGTATCCGGACTAATGGTGTTCAAACTGTTCTCGCTGTTCTGCAACAAAGTTCGTCTGTCAACGATGCGAAACACTCGACTAGGAATTCGCTCGAGAGCATAGTGTAAGAAATCAGTGGCGTAGGAGTATTCGTTCGTGATATTAAATGCTTCTGTAGTATGTCAATAGAGAAACACAAATCGTAGGAATTATTTTGTTGAAAATTTTTCTCAGATTTTTTAAATATAATTTTTTAGAATTTCAAATTTTTTATACAAATTGGAATACTTTTCAGAAGTATCGAGAAAATTTACATCTTTTTTTTAGAATTTTTTAAAATGATATCAAGTACAAATTTGTGATTTTTCCCACGCCACTGGGAAACACGCACCGCGTCGGTGACAGTATCGGCATTTCTGGCAAAGGTGCGATGAGGTAGCTACGGATTTCGTATTTTCGAAGGACCTCGTCATCCAACCTTTCGACCGGGATGTAGTTGTAGTCGTTCGCGTTCACAAGATCCAGCGTTTGCTGAGTAACATGGACCTTGCCAGGTTTCCCAGTCTGCTCCATTTTGTTCGCTATCACCACATCGCGCGACCAAACGTCGTATTGCCACTTGTTTGTGCCCAGGATTCCGGATATTATGTTGCCTGAGTGCACGCCAATTCTCATGTTCACGTCCACCCCGCTCTCGTGATAGACTCGCGCCCTCACCTCGTTGATGATTTTTATCATATCGAGGCCTAAGTAAGACCATTTTATGAAGCAATAATAAATCATACAGGAAGGAAACTAGAAATATTTTCTTATAATTGAACATCAATCATCAAATATTAAACTATAATATAATCAAAGAGAAAAAAGCCATCAAGATTTTTAAACTTCTAATAAATGAATGTCTACAGATATCTCTGAATTAATGTATATTAGAATAATGTTGTGCGCGATTTGTGTGCGTCAACATAGATTTTTGTAATAAAATTGAATTCGCAAATTACAACTTTGTCTATTTTCGAATGAAAACAAACATTATTTTACAAATGTAAAATGTTTAAAATAGCATTCTCTAAATATCCGCTCAATTTTTATTAATTGAATTACATTCTGTTGAATTGCAATGGATAAATAGACATTCTGCCGTTTTACCGAGATCGACGCAGCTCTTAGCATGCTGAGAGTTCGGCGTGGGCACGCCGCTCACGCAATAGTAACAGTCGCCCAAAAATTTGATTCTCAGTACATTGTGCCTCTCGGATGCTTCGTCGAAACTGCCGAATAGATCGTTCAACGTCTCCACGAGTTTCCGTATCGGCAGCGTTACAGTTAACCCGGAGAAGTTCACTACGTCCGCGTACAAAATACTCACGTTATCGTGCGTCTCCACGCATAAATCGCTGAAAGAGAACAATTGGAGTATAATAATCGAAAGAGAATATCGCATTTGCTATGGAGACGTCGTACCAGTATGGTCTGCCTTTTGGCGGAGGACTCTTTTTGTGCTCTTCTATGAATTTGAAAATATCCCGAAAGTCCTTTTTGATTTTCGCCACTATGTGTTGTGGCAATATACTCCGTGTCAATTGCTCCTACAATTGTTGATTATTTCCAGTTTCAGATATGTTCGATCAATCAGTTGATTTTTTTATTGTGAACTCTGGTAGATAAATTTAAGTTTGTAAAAAAATACAATCCAACTTCTATGATAGCAAAAATTTATTGTTAAAACTTTCACAAGTATGTAAGAATTTTTATAGACTTTTATACAATGCAGAACAATATAAAAATCTGTACTGAAGTTCGAAGACCCAGATTGCAAACGAAGGGTGAAAATTTCACATTGCCGATGGTTAAATTTCTATAATTTTATATTTAGTTTAAATTTTTACAATTTTCGCAAATTCAGATATTTGGACTCTTTATCATTAGATCAGATCTATGATCACTTTTGTAATATCTTTTTGCAGTTTTCAATTTTGCATTTATATTCTTCGCGGAGATAGAAATATACCTAGTAGGATGATGGATAATCGATCTAGGGAATGAAGTGCAAAGGACAACAGGAACTCAATTGTATTTATCGCGGTCGCATGTTTATACGTGCTCAGCATCGTGAATTTGTTTTTACATTCCTCGTACGGAATGCTACTCAGTTGCCAAAGGAGAATTACTCGAAAAGAACAGGAAGAAAGACAAAGGAAAAAGACGGATGAAATGAAGATCTAATACACGCTTTTCGTTAATGAAAATTATCTCGAAATTGTCCAATATCCCTATTTTTAATCTGACAAATGTGACGAAATGTGTCGCAGTAATTCAATTACGTCGGTTTAAACCTACTTCTTGATCCTTCTCATAATTGAGCCTGAGCGTGGACTCGACGCATTTCCGACGGTCCAGGAAGGAGCGTCTGATGACGACCTCGTTCATGAACCTGAAGTAGAGTCCCAGAGCGTTCACGCACATGAAGTATATCGCATCGCTGACGATCTGCGATTGGGGAGTGGACAAAAGAAAGAAAAGCATTCCATTCTTAGCTGCTGGTTTACTCTGGGGTTTGCATCAACGCGATTACATCGCGCATCGTCGGTGTAGGATTTACCTTGGTAATGTGATCGGACGTGCTGTTATAGGTGATTATTGACAGGGTCGCCAAGTAACACATGCTGGCTGTAAGGCCGAGCACGAGAGCGTGCGAATTCTTTGTGATCGGTAGGAACACGTAGCATGCGAGAAGCGAATGCGTCGCGTATGCCGGTCTGAAAAGAAAGAAACGCTGCTGAAAAAAGCGCGTGTATGTAATACGCACGTGAAGCACGGGATCATGAGTTCGCGTCGGCATGCTTATTGACGAAAAGTGAAAAAGTATATACAAACGATACAAACGTAATCGTCTAAATTTACTGCATATAACGGATCTCAGGTTTAACGAGAAAAAAAATGCAATCGGGATACGCACGTTAAACGATCAGTGGAGAACATAAAATGTGTGCACCCGTATACACGCATCAAGGATATTTTCGATTCTTGTACTGATTATTCTGCTAGGAAGGTCTTTTGCATCATCAAGTTAAAGCCAAATATTATTAGATCAATTTTTTTCGAAATCGTTTCTCAAAGATATTTTCTTCATATTCGAAATACGACGTAACAATTGAAAATATCTATAACTAATATATATAAAATTTATATTCTTATAAATTAATTGCTATGTAATTGTGACTTCTCAGTTTCTTGAACTTCTAACATACCTATAACCCTATATCATAATTGCTCAAAGAATAATATATCGCGTAGTCTTAAGCAGCGTTTCATTTGAAAATTGTGCCTGTTCTCAAATTATTATTATTTTGCACCGTACACCAGATAGAGATCATGATATCAATAAGTTATAATATCAGTTATAACATCAGTTGCTGTTCTGACAGTTACTATTTTTGTGTTGTGCGTGCGAGGCCAAAAGCACGCGCCTTTATCAGTAATAAATATTTACGCGATTTGTGTCATGCAGTTATCGCGGAATAATTTCGATAAACCCTGCACTAAATAAACGGCCGCCGCAAGGAAATCACCACGGCTGATACTAAAATAGTGATGATAATCAGATGCAACCTTGCATGATATTATGTCACGGGTCAAGTTATCGATACCTTATCGGTGGAATATCTTCGGCATAAGTGAAAACGTAAAATAGAGGTATGGTCAGATCACAAACGACCAAAAGCACAATGATCATCCAAGACAGCATGATCGGCAAATAGGTGTTTTTGGCGATGTGCCTCGATCGGAATGATAAGGCGATCATAGGACACATCAGAGCGCCCACGATGCAATAGACTACGATTTCCAACAAGCATTCCTTCATGCCGACCTAAATCAAGAAGAAAACTCCAGCTCATATATCCCTCAACATTACTTACAAATTTTTCAAAGTTGCATTATTTAAATATCTCTAAGTGATGTCATTAATTAAGGAATTTTACTGCAGTAGGAGCTAAGTGATTTTTAATCTCTAAGTACCTAAATTTCCAAGATTAAACGGTTAAGTAAATAATTTTTTGTATTACGTTTCACGTGGAAATTTAGTTTTAAAAACTGTTAAATTCATTTTTTAATATGTTTTGAAATAAAAACATATAAGTCCGTCGAAGATTATATAAAATTATTATTAAACATATATAGTTAAAAATTTCTAAATAAAATAAAACGCTTTTTTTCTCTTTCTGCTGTATTTTTAATAATAAATACTGAGCTTACCGTTATGATCAGAGACAAGCAATACGCAAATCCAAGTAGCAGTTGTAGCAAGATAAATATCGAAAGATAACCATATTGTATTCTTCTGTGATAGATTGTGTACAGCTTTTCTAAGTTCTTGTACTTGAATTGTTTCTGAAAGTAAAAATTTGTATGAGATCGTAATCAATTAGCTGAATTAGCAACGCTACAGAAACACGAAAAGGAACTTATTGCGATAAAACGATTAAATTGTCAATTGTTACAAACATTTAGCGATTCAAAAAAGAGATAAAAAAATGTCAGGATCTTATTTCTAAAGAAATTTAACTAAATCAATAAATAAAAGAAGGGCTACGAGTCAATTAAAATTTAAAGAATATTTAATATTCGTACAAACGTTTCGACGCCGATCGGGTCATTTTCAATGTAAAAACAAATAATATTACATAAGTTGTCGAAGTATTCAGTCAGATTACAATAGTATCCAGTGAAACGTATCGGTTGTTTTTGTATTCCCTACTATTTGATGTGTGTGATCCATATGTAAAATTAGCATCATTTGACTGATATAAAAGTGATCTCATCTTATTTTTAAATCTACAATCTTACAAATAAATTATCAAAAACTGTTCACATCAACAGATAAATAAAAATAATAAACTGACATTGCGTTACAATTAAATAAAGATAATTACATATCAAAAATGGAAGAGATTTTATCAGACAATAATACATATGAAATTATCAATAAAGATCCGACTAATAAACTAACCAGTGACTTACGCTCCTTACTTGTTAGATGGAAAGGTAAAAAGTTTATTGACGACTCCACATATCGAAGATTACTCACGACTGATGGTATCATTCCCAAAGCATACGGTTTAACAAAGATCCATAAACAAGGTAATCCCTTAAGAATTATTGTGTCATCAATAAATAGTCAACTATATTATTTTTCGTTATTTCTGCATAATAAATATTATTAATGATTCCATATCGGAAACCCCCAACTATATTAAGAATAGTTTTCATCTTACTGAAAAATTAAAGGATATTTGTATTGAGCCTGATTACATACTTGTTTCATTGGATGTCGTTTCCTTATTTACTAATTAATGTTCCCGTAGAATTGGTATCTGATAGTATTACAAAAAGATGGGAATGTATATTCATGAAAACTAAAATACCTTTGAAGGAGTTTTTAATTGCTGTTTGTATGGTTTTAAATTCTACTTTTTTTATGTTTAACAATAAATTTTACAAACAAATTTTTGATACTCCTATGAGGTCACCTTTATCTCCAATTGCTATTGATATGGTTATGCAGAATCTGGAAGAAATAGCAATTGAAAAATTACCAGTAAAGTTATTATTTTATTTTCGATATGTGGATGACATTATTTTAGCTGCTCCATCAGAGAGTATTAACGACATTTAAAAAATTTTTAACTCATTACATAGCAGATTGCAATTCACTATGGAAGTTGGTATAGATGGAAAATTAAATTTCTTAGACACTACATTGATTGTGGAAGAACAGATGTTAGTTTTGGACGTGTATCGTAAGGCGACTTTTTTTTGCAGATTTCTTAATTTTAATTCACACCATCCGCTTTGTCACAAGAGAGGCGTAATATACGGTTTTGTAGACAAAATTATACGTTTTATGTCATCCTCGTTTCCAGCAAAATAATTTTATTAATGCAATTAATATCTTTTTAAGTAATAGTTATCCATTGGAATTTATTTTTTCTTCAATACAAAAAAGAATAAAGTTTCACATTGATTCTAATAATAGAACTGTTAGCAAAAGAAGTCAAGGGAAAATTTTTCACAATACTTTATGTGAATTCGGTATCTGAAAAATTTACTCTAATTGCTAACAGGTTTCATTGTAAATTAGCTTTCTCTATCCCAAATTCACTAAAGAACTTTATAAGAAAGGGCAAAGACCAGTTGGATCCTTTATGCAATCAAAACGTTGTCTATAAGATCTTTTGTGATGATTGCGATGTTAGTTACGTAGATCAGACAAAAAGGCAATTAAAGACAAGATTACACGAACATGTCTCCGATATCAATAAGAAGTCAAAATCTCCAACGGTGATTACTAATCACCGCATTGACCAGAATCATAATTTTGACTGGTATAACGTTGAAAATTTAGACATAGAAGCTTCTTATAATAAGAGACTAATATCGGAGATGGTTCACATTAAAAGACAAAAACATGAGATAAACAAACAAAATGATACAGATTCTCTGACAGAATCATATCTTAATATTATACAATCTCTTTCCCCTTCCTAACATTGTCCTTTGTCATCTTTCATTTATTGTCTTTTCTTTGTTTTCTTGTTTCCTTTTTATCATAACGTCGTCTAACATCGTCGAAGATGCATGTTCTCTCGAATATACTGTATTATGGCTTACTTTTGTTTACTGCGTACGACTTAATTTGCGGTTTTCTCTCAACGTTTGACTCACATCATTGTGACAAATCAAGGTGTATATATATGTATGTAACTTAATTGGTACTAAATTATTATAACATATACATACTTAATTATATAATTTAATTTTAATTGTAACAGACATTTCATATATCAATTTGTTTGACTTTTAAGTATTAGTATTTGTATCAATTATATTGCAAGGTTTCACTGGGTACTATTGTAATCTGTGATCGAAAGTACTTCGACAACTTATGTAATATTATTTGTTTTTACATTGAAAATGATCCGATCGGCGTCGAAACGTTTGTACGAATATTAAATATTCTTTAAATTTTAATTGGCCCATAGCGCTTCTTTCATTTATTGATTTATTCTTATTGAGCCATATTATTAATTTATCAAATTTAACTAAATTTAATCTAAACATTTTATTCATCGTGCGATTCTTTAGTTCTTAATTTTAAATAATTGTTTATTAATTATGCTTTTTTAATATTGGTTTTATAAATATATATAACAATAAATTAGGTGCGAAAGTAATAAAGCAAAAGATCATTCAATTATAATTGAAATATATCTTTGTTTCGTTTCGGAAGTAGTATTATAGATTATCTGGAGTATGCACTATTATCATTCCAAAGAAAGTATCAGTCAAATTAAGGGTGATGAATATCGCCATTGTGAGAAACACGCGCAGCTCAACGTCGCAATTCATCTCAGCAAGAAGAAACGAGAGAGTATTTGCACACAAATTACATTTCGTTTCGTTAACGGCAAAGTTCTTTATTATTCATTTTACACCTTGATGTGTTCCATCAATTATGTCAGGATTCCGCTTTAGTTGATGATTGTATATATCAGAGCGGAGATATCCTTTTATACTAAAACAAGAGTTTCCTCTCATATCAGAAAATCGTTTTGATCGGTATAAAGGTGTAACTTATTATAGAAGTATCATCGTCACATTATCTGGCTCTCATCATTGTATCATTCTTGGAGAAATGTCCATAAATTTTCGGACAAAGCACTTGCACGCAATCACTCAACTAGAGCTAGGATACTCCCTTACTTCAAGAGTCTCCCATTTTTGTTACCCATTAATAACGAGTTCAAATACATGAGATTGATAATTCTCATGTATTTGGATCAACGATCCAAGGGTAAATTAGTTGAGCGATAGATTAAGTTTAGTAACTGCACACTTTTAATCACTTTCGTTTACTCTCGGCTCTCCTAACATCACAGGCCGACAGGCACAATAAGTCATCTCTAAGAGATTGCGATAGAAATCCTTATGAACTCATCCTCGCAGACCGGGGCTGCACTTCCGCCAGTAGTACGTCCCCGCTCGTACGACGATCATATAGCGATTTGCTGATCGCGTGCGTGTGGCGCGTGGCGCGCGCAAATTACACAGCTCTAAGCTCGTAAAACGATAAAGCTGCATCGGGCATCCGACCATCATCTGGCGCAGTCGCGCAGTCCCGACTGCTCCAGCATGCAACGTGTGTACCGTGGAATGCACCGCAGGCTCCCGCTGGAATTGCGCGCCTTCGAGTTGCTGGTATGACGGAATTACAGCTGGGATTAATCCTTATTGATGTATCCGCGCGAATACCAAATGTGCTCGCTCACATGTTCGTTCGATCCTTTCTAGCTTCATCTAGCTTAACTCAATCTTCTTTAACGACCATTTAAAATACATTTATTTAAATGGTTTCATATTCTTTCATTTAAAAGCTCACTCAGGTCATTCTAGTTTCAACAAATTTCTAATAATCACAATTTTTTGTAGCACTAATTGAGAATGAAGAAGTTAGGATTAAATGTCATAATGTCGAATTTCGAGTACGGAAAGGCAGAGATTGATAACCGCATATTTTTCTGAGACAATTCATGAAACAAAGATTTGAAGAATTTCTCATCCCTCGCGATATCTTGCGATAAATTACGTGAGCAAGATTATTACAACACGCGATGGATTTACGTATTTAAAAGCATCTGTGTACACATTCTAAAAAAAGACTTCTCCCAACAATTTTGACGAGATTTCATCATTGCGGTCATCGACTGCAAATAGAATATATTATCATCCCCGACGATATTCAGATAACGCGCGACATCATATCAAAAAGCAGAGTGTCCACAAGGCGAAACATCTGCTTTCACTCGACGATACTCACATGTGATCGACCGAAAGATCCGAGATTTGCACCGCGAAGTAGACATGCGATCTTTTCCCACGCGATGCACGACCACACCCGCTGAAAAGTCGCGTCCGTCTAAAATGCAACGGTTAACCAAGGTGCGCTTGAAGGAACCTCCACTTGCAGCAGCAGCAGCAGCCGGGGGAAACGTGCTTCCGTGCTTTCGTCTCGCGCGTGCGTTTTGTCCGCACGTTCCCGCTCAGCTTGGTGAATCTCTCTCTCTCTCTCTCTCCCCCCCCCCTCTCTCTCTCTTTCGTCTCGCTGAATATTGATCTTCAATCCCGAATTCGCGCAGCAGGTCTCCTTTACACCTCTCCATCTCTTCCCTTTTTGTCTTTCACTCTCAGTATTATTCATCGTCCTCTTTGTTCATTTCATCCTTCAACCCTTTCAATTCAATGTCATTCGAATAATGATCATTCGGTAACGATAAATGACGTTGATTCATAAATGATTGCCCTATTAGATAATGATAAATATTAGATGAAATACACATACAAATAAACACTGAAATAAACTATCTATCACACTGCACATTTTTGCAACAATTTTGCAATATCGTGCAATTTCGTTGGAACTTGTAATTTCATGTCTCCGGAAATTGTCTCTGCAGTATTACGTTGCAATTTGCTATGTTGCTAAAAAATTTTCCGATATATTGAAATAGAGATATCTTGCTATCGAAATTCCTCAAATAAGCAAACGTAAGCGAAAACTGCGTCTTTGATGAGATTATCGATTTCGTCACAGCAAACGCATTCGAGTGGGAGGATTAATTGAGATCTGATCGATATTCTCATTAGTCTTCTGAATATTAATTTATTAGTATAAATCAAATCAAAGCAAACTTTGAATCATAAAATGATTTCAATTAAGCAAGTTATTCTGTTCGGCGTTTAGGAAAAAATTCATACGTGCAATTCGGAACAAATAAAGAATAAAAAGTGAAACAATGAGAATTTCATTGGACCGTTCATGTGAATACACAAACCAATAGGAAATACAGCCCATAACGGTCGAAGCTGGATCTTTGGTGTTTGAATAATTCGATGCAATAAAAAATGACACTATTTTCCAATAGGAAATTATCGTAGAAACTTCTTTATTCAAGAATGGAATCTCCTCCAGAATTATTATCATCGATTTTTATGACATTTCCTTCTTGAATCGCTTAATTAATTGCAGTAATTAATTTTTAGTAACCCCCACCGCACACAAGAAAAGAATGTAGGAAAAGAAGCAATAAGGTTTCTTTCAGTTTTACGTAGCTCTTCTAGAGTTTTCGAGCATCACGGTGAAACATCCTTCGGCCATTCAGATAAATTAATCGCCGCTCGATAAGCAGCACCTTCGAAGAATTCACTTATTCTTTCTCACTCATTCACTTGACGAGTCATTTCTTTCTGATAGTGACTCTCGCGTTAAAAATTCTTCCACAATCTTGTTTTCCAGGTAACATCGTCTCAAAGCGTTATCAATACTGGAACGTTCACTTCACAGAATCGAAATTTTCTCGGGCTGTACAATACTTTTATTGCGATTACACTTCATTGTTAATGCAAATTCTTCATTGCCAAGTTTTTTTAATGTGCTTGAACCAACAATAACTTCGATATATATTAAATCAGAGGTTTTAATTCAAAATCAAGATATACAATTGCTTGTAAATTATATTTACACTTCAGAAAGCTTCACAGCTTTTCTTTTATAGGCTTGAAAGAAATGCATGGTTAAGGATATTCAAGGTTTCAAGAATCTGAATATTAAAATAGTCATTTACTTAATCCGAGATTTTTTAACACAGCGCAAAGTTCAATAAGTTTAGGAACTTAAACTTTACAAAATATTTTTGCTGTCATAGATTTTCAATCTAGAATTTGAGTTTGAAAGTCCAAGAAAAAAATATAAAAATAAAACAATACAAATCTTTAATATAAAAAATTACAATTATACATAGATAAAACAACAAGTCTGTTAATAATTTTTCGGTCATTGGATTTATTTTATATTATACAAACAATTTTCAAATTATAATAAGAAAATAATATATGACCTGAATCAATTATAAAATACAAATAAAAATGCATATTTATCTTGTAAATTATACCAATAAAGAAACCTAATAATAACAAAGCGAAGTAAAAGATAGCTATCGAAATTCTCAGTAACGTGGATCAAATGATAAGACGCCGTATAGTCAGCTGCTAAGAGTGAGGTACCAAGAGTAAGCTCGTTAAAGTACTCATTCAATTAAGACTTTTTAAACATTCGTCGATAAAGACAGATGGTTCTAACGTATAATTGATCGTTCACTTACCCGCAGACCAGACCACGTCCACTCGTCAAAGCTATCTGAAGAAATGATGCGGCCGTCGTCTTCCTTCTGCAGCGAACTGAACGATGCTCGGGTAACCAGTTCCATATCCATCCTAACTTCGTTAGTCGATTTTGGATCATCCATGTCGATGATAGTCACAGCAAGACGACAACGACGGTGACAGCGAGCTTGTCGTACTCATCATTGCGATGACGGATTCGCGACTGGAGAACGATTGTAACGAATCGCAATTGAAAAGTGAATCACCCCGAGTGTTGGGTTCCGTGATGATCAAGCCAAGCCCAAGCTTTATCGTGATAAGAGAAATGGGCCACTCGAAACTCCCCTGTGACTTTCCTACATTGACTCTCTCCTCCCTCCCCCCCCTCTCTCTTTCTCTCTCGTTCCGATTAACTATAATGCATGCTTCTGATTTTTTATGCTAGGAACTTTGTCTAGTATGTAGTATAAGTATAGCATCGATCGTGGGCGATAAAGTGACCTGCGGGAAAGATCGAGAATTGTTGTCTCGTTGTCGGAAATGCCTCGTGAGGCAGACAAGTAAAATGTATTTTTGGATGGAAACACCTTTCTGAAGAACTCGCACAGAACTCACAAAGAAGATCAACTAACACAAATGCCTCGACAATAACGTAGTCAGAAACATCCGCCGCCCGCTGACATTTTAAAGGGAATTCGCATTTCTCGCTAACAAGAACCGTAGGATTCACTCCACGTCGAGAGATACCGATATATTTATGCATACACGCTTCAATTGTCTCTTTTTAAACAAAATAAATAAATAGCCGTTCTGTCGAAAGCTTTCACATTTATCAGCAAGTTGTATTAGGCACGATTTATCCAAGCGATGTCGAAAATAGCTACCAAGTTCCTTTTGAATGTGACGTTTTCAAGGTCAGATAATCGATTCTTCCTGCGTTCGAAAAATGGATTTATCCCGCCCTCGATCCCCATGTCACAGAGTGCCGTCCCGGAAACGTAGTCATTGATCGTTGGAGGAAAGGCACGGTCCAATCTTGGAAAAAATGCACGTTCAAAGTATCTATTACAAGAAATAGAGAACAATTACATTTCTGTGCATAAAAAATTCCACAAAAACGAACGAGATTTTATATATTAGAATCCAACACTTTATTCGACCGTATAAAATATCCACACTAAATAAAGTCATCAATTTCAAAACTATTAATAAGATCGTCCTGTTCTGGTAGGATAAAATTTAAATGCACTTTTTCTTCGAACAGCAATTTTTGCTTACACATTCTTTCTCCAGCAATCATATCACAATTGAGTTATCGAACGGATCATGGAAGTACACTTGATAGCGGACCTCCTGTGTCTATTTTTGAGTTTCTCGTCTGCGGTTCACCTTTACTCGTCTTTACAAAAGTGAGATAGCCGAAATTGATTGAGAAATTAGATGGATATTTTTGCCAACTGATAACACTCAGTTTTTGCAAAATTATCTTGCTGACGGTATCAATTATTAAAATGAATCGAATAAAACGTTTGCAAATTTTTCTAATACATAGATTTTTCTACATAGATAGAATATTTGTTAAATTATGACTTTCTTTTATTATTACAATAACTTCTTGTATAAAATTATTTTTGTAACAATATATTCTTAGCCAACTAGGATATTTATATTTAATAAAGATTTCAAACTAAGTTGCTTGCGATAGAGAATAGCTAATTAAGAATATCGTTCTAGTGTAATAAAATTAATTAAGTTAAAATTTAAAGAACTTTATTCAGTTCGCCCTAGGTTGACATATATTTCAAATTATCATATCTGACAAGCCTTCGAATTATTCTTTATCTTTATCCTTACCGTTTAATTATATGTACATGAATCAAAGATTAGCCAAGTTACGTGATTTCGTTATGATAATATGACAATCGACAAACCGTGGCCTAAAAGTGAAATCTACACAGAAGTGAAGAAAATATTTTCAGCGCAGTTATATCACTGCGATTGGAACATTTTCGGCTGGTCATCGTGAACGTTTTCATTGTCTCTGACTTTCTTTCTGCGACACTTATTCATGCTAAATGCATCATTTATCATCTCGTGTTGCAAATCGTGTCCTCAACAATGCGATCGCACGTTAATTCATGGAAGACTTCACGATCGCTTAGACCTACGTGCAGTCGATCTACCGTGATCGTCAAGATCGGCTGCTACTAGCAATAATAACAGAGTGATGATAACAGACATAAATGCCGACACTTTTCGAATTTTGTAAAGGCCGGATAGAGATGGCGAATAGCGATTTTGGCGAACAGTAATTCCGGAGATTGGTCGCTAACAATAAGTAACAATAACAATGGAGAACCGGATGGAAATTGGTTGCAAGTAGAGATTTAGAGATGGTGTATGTGATTTTGGCGATCGGACGTAAGCTTCGAAATTAACTTTCCGAGCACTGCTAATTGCATCCTGCCCCTTCCGGATCGCCTAGCCCCGCGGCCAAATCGAGTGATCTAAACGATCAGTAATGTCTGTTCGAGAAAGGACGCCGTCTTAATGGACTCTCTTTAATGGGCCGTCTCAATGGAATAAATTGAATGAATATTAATTAACAATCGATTATCATGACGGATGATTCAACCGAGAGGAATCTCGAGTTAATATTTATTGATCGCTACGTGTCTGTGCAGATGTTTTTTTTTTTCTTTATTTCCAGAGAGCATCAAAAAAAGAGATTTACTAAATTAACGACCGGGTAAGCTTGTTTGAATAGAGAACGTGATTAATGTGCAATAAAGAGTCTGACAATTAATATAATAGAAAAGCATTAGAAAAACACACTATAAAAAAAGAAAGTTGGATATGCTATACCCAGAATGACATCAAAGGGTTAAATTTGTCTAAAAGCTCGTTCAAATTAAATTCGTGGATGGCAAAATGTTCCATATATTCTAAAACGACAGGTAATAAATTTTTAATGTTGTTATAAATCAACGTTAAGAATAAGTCAATTTTATTCGTCACGCGATTGAAGCTTCGTTACTTTCGATACCCACCTGATCGGAGGTTCCTTCACTTTCTAATGAAAGGTCAATCGGTCGGCAACTTTCGCGGTGAACCGTGGCACGATTCTCTTTTTTTTCGTTTATTTTTCTTTTCACACAGACGTTATTCTTTTTAACGCGCGTTACGTTCGGAAGTGCGCGCGAGAAATGAAAGACGAGAGTACGAGACCGCTTTCCACCGCCGATATCACCGCGACGCACGACAGCGGGCCCGACAGGTGTGACGGCGAGCGCGACATGGGTCGTGTACCCGTGGCTTCTTTTCGATTCGAGTCATGGTGGAGATCCTCAAGGTCTACCCCGCACTTCGGCACGCACGCACGCATGCATATTGCGCTTTCCGTCGAGAGCCCTGGACTTCGAAGACTCTCGGTAGTCTCGGTTGTCAATGGCACTTTTTATGACTTCCGGCGCGCCGTTTCAATTGAGGAAGATCGATTCCGGACGTCGAATCGTGGAAATTCACCGGCGATCTCGCAGTTATCAGAGGCGCGATAATGTTATAGCAATCGCACAGTCCTAGGAACGTAAAATTACCTCGATCAATCGAGCCATAATTCTGATATTAAGATTTTAATTAGGTCATGATTATTTGTATTTAAAAAAATAGAGAAAAATGTAATAAGGTACAAATAAATAAAAATGTCATCCATCCCAAACTTGGAATATCATGTTTTACTATTAGATTCACAGGGAGAGAGAGAGAGAGAGAGAGAGAGAGAGAGAGAGAGAGAGAGAGAGAGAGAGAGAGAGATATTAGCATTAGAATAACTTCTTTTATTTAAGGGTCACGTTATAAACAATTTTACAGATTACGCGAATGTTAGAGGAATATAAAAATAAAATAACATTTCTATAAACTGAAAATTAAGATCTTTTACTAAAAAAATCAAGACTCACGCGCGCCAAATAATAGGGGAGAATGGTCTAAATCGGACCTATTTGCAGTTTTTGCTCTCTATAAGGCATAAATAAAGTCCGATCGAAGGTGCTGTTGGAAAGATCATTTAATTCCCTTCATTTTTGCTTGAGATTATTTTGACGTATCTCTCACTTGTGTTAAACTATAATGGAAAATGTAAAAACGTTTTTTCCGGTCCGATTTAGAACCTATTGGTTCCAAATCGGACCATCCCCTGGTTCAAATCGAAAACTCCTATTTTTATGGATTTTTAGATAGAATTTTAAAATATTTTAATGTATTTTTCCTAGTATTGAGGAAAAACGAGCAATTTGACAGTCAAAGATAAAAAATTTTTTTCAGAAAAAGAAAATACTGATTGTTTATATTATTATAATTGAAATCAATAAAACTCAACTAATCTGAGTCTGATGACTCATGATATTTTACTGATTTAATTGCTTGGACCAGATCTGATCAGCCGATCACCAGTACTACAACCAGGCCTATAAGTTATTCACTGTACTGTCCGATTTGGACACGGGTCCTTTCGAACTTTGGAACAAATTTTACAATAAACCGCAAAAGTGATCACGAAATGCTTGATATTTTTTAATTCTACACTCTTTAATTATCTTAAATCAATTACTTTTCAAATTTTTAACACCTTTTAAATAATGATTTACAAGGATTTTCTGTTTTAAAAAAATTTTCGCACAATGGCTGAAAATACATATTTGCCTCTATTTTATGAATGTTATGACAGAGAACTGTCAAACTGCTATCGCATGTTCGGTGTCTTATAAAGACTTTACGTTATAAATAGTACGCAAATCTGCTTAACCATATTCATTTAAATTAAAAAGGTCCTATTTGGAACACGGATTTAGACCATTCTCCCCTATTTGTCGTACATCTGTTAATTAAACGACATAGACATTCGAAGTAATTCACTAATCACTTTCAGAAATATAAATAAAAATAGAAAAAAATTCTTTCAGAACTAGGACGAATTAGTCATTTTTTTAATCATAAATAGAGAAAATAGAGATTGATAGATCTTGAGACGATGCAAATTCGTGCGAAAAATATAGTGTTGCGTTTAAGACAATTGTCATAGTGATAGTAATCGTCACAAGATCGTCGCTGAACGCGACTCGACGTTTTTACACACCTGATGTCAATTTTCATACTCGTGCGATTTATCATGTAAAAAAAGAAGCAACACTAACCTCGACTATCTAGTGTTAACTGAAGGAGTCTGATGGCGTCATCATAAGTTTCGCGCTGAATGTTGCACACACCCACAACACATATATGTAACACAATAA